AAAAAAAAAGTTGGAAAAATGGCCATTTTTGGACCAAAACGATGGGTTAACCTTTTTGGAAAAATGTCAATTTTTCTACTCTTTGGAAAAAATGCCAATTTTTCGACTTTTTAAACTTCTTGTTTTTATAGCCTAAAAAGGCGTTTTTTCGTTCTGGAATGTCGTAAAAGCCATTTTCCTGGCCGATATTGCCTAAAAAAAAATGTTGGAAAAATGGCCATTTTTGGCCCAGAACCATGGGTTAACCCCTTTGGAAAAATGTCAATTTTTCGACTTTTTGAACTTCTTGTTTTTATTGCCTAGAAAGGCGTTTCCTCGTTTTATAGTATCGTAAAAGACATTTTTCTGGCCTATATTGCCTAAAAAAAAAAGTTGGAAAAATGGCCATTTTTTGACCAAAACCATGGGTTAACCCCTTTGGAAAAAATGCCAATTTTTCGACTTTTTGAACTTGTTGTTTTTATAGCCTAGAAAGGCGTTTCTTCGCTTTATAGTATCGTAAAAGACATTTTTCTGGCCTATATTGCCTAAAAAAAAAAGTTGGAAAAATGGTCATTTCTGGACCAAGACAATGGGTTAACCCCTTTGGAAAAATGTCAATTTTTCGACTTTTTAAACTTCCTTTTTTTATAGCCTAGAAAGGTGTTTTTTCGTTCTAGAATATCGTAAAAGACATTTTCTCGGCCTATATTGCCTAAAAAAAAAAGTTGGAAAAATGGTCATTTTTGGACCAAAACAATGGGTTAACCCCTTTGGAAAAATGTTAATTTTTCGACTTTTTGAACTTCTTGTTTTTATAGCCTAGAAAGGCGTTTCCTCGTTTTATAGTATCGTAAAAGACATTTTTCTGGCCTATATTGCCTAAAAAAAAAAGTTGGAAAAATGGTCATTTCTGGACCAAGACAATGGGTTAACCCCTTTGGAAAAATGTCAATTTTTCGACTTTTTAAACTTCCTTTTTTTATAGCCTAGAAAGGTGTTTTTTCGTTCTAGAATATCGTAAAAGACATTTTCTCGGCCTATATTGCCTAAAAAAAAAAGTTGGAAAAATGTTCATTTTTGGACCAAAACAATGGGTTAACCCCTTTGGAAAAATGTTAATTTTTCGACTTTTTGAACTTCTTGTTTTTATAGCCTAGAAAGGCGTTTCCTCGTTTTATAGTATCGTAAAAGACATTTTTCTGGTCTATATTGCCTAAAAAAAAAGTTGGAAAAATGGTCATTTTTGGACCAAAACCATGGGTTAACCCTTTTGGAAAAAATGCCAATTTTTCGACTTTTTGAACTTCTTGTTTTTATAGCCTAGAAAGGTGTTTTTTCGTTCTAGAATATTGTAAAAGACATTTTTCTGGCCTATATTGCCTAGAAAAAAAAGTTGGAAAAATGGCCATTTTTGGACCAAAAGCATGGGTTAACCCCTTTGGAAAAAGGTCAATTTTTCTACATTTTTCTGGCCTATATTGCCAAAAAAAAAATGTTGGAAAAATGGCCATTTTTGGACCAAAACCATGGGTTAACCCCTTTGGAAAAATGTCAATTTTTCGACTTTTTGAACTTCTTGTTTTTATTGCCTAGAAAGGCGTTTCCTCGTTTTATAGTATCGTAAAAGACATTTTTCTGGCCTATATTGCCTAAAAAAAAAAGTTGGAAAAATGGCATTTTTTTTTGACCAAAACCATGGGTTAACCCCTTTGGAAAAAATGCCAATTTTTCGACTTTTTGAACTTGTTGTTTTTATAGCCTAGAAAGGCGTTTCTTCGCTTTATAGTATCGTAAAAGACATTTTTCTGGCCTATATTGCCTAAAAAAAAAAGTTGGAAAAATGGTCATTTCTGGACCAAGACAATGGGTTAACCCCTTTGGAAAAATGTCAATTTTTCGACTTTTTAAACTTCCTTTTTTTATAGCCTAGAAAGGTGTTTTTTCGTTCTAGAATATCGTAAAAGACATTTTCTCGGCCTATATTGCCTAAAAAAAAAAGTTGGAAAAATGGTCATTTTTGGACCAAAACAATGGGTTAACCCCTTTGGAAAAATGTTAATTTTTCGACTTTTTGAACTTCTTGTTTTTATAGCCTAGAAAGGCGTTTCCTCGTTTTATAGTATCGTAAAAGACATTTTTCTGGTCTATATTGCCTAAAAAGAAAGTTGGAAAAATGGTCATTTTTGGACCAAAACCATGGGTTAACCCTTTTGGAAAAAATGCCAATTTTTCGACTTTTTGAACTTCTTGTTTTTATAGCCTAGAAAGGTGTTTTTTCGTTCTAGAATATTGTAAAAGACATTTTTCTGGCCTAAATTGCCTAGAAAAAAAAGTTGGAAAAATGGCCATTTTTGGACCAAAAGCATGGGTTAACCCCTTTGGAAAAAGGTCAATTTTTCTACATTTTTCTGGCCTATATTGCCAAAAAAAAAATGTTGGAAAAATGGCCATTTTTGGACCAAAACCATGGGTTAACCCCTATGGAAAAAATGCCAATTTTTCGACTTTTTGAACTTCTTGTTTTTATAGCCTAGAAAGGTGTTTCCTCGTTTTATAGTATCGTAGAAGACATTTTTCTGGCCTATATTGCCTAAAAAAAAAGTTGGAAAAATGGCCATTTTTGGACCAAAACGATGGGTTAACCTTTTTGGAAAAATGTCAATTTTTCGACTCTTTGGAAAAAATGCCAATTTTTCGACTTTTTAAACTTCTTGTTTTTATAGCCTAAAAAGGCGTTTTTTCGTTCTGGAATGTCGTAAAAGCCATTTTCCTGGCCGATATTGCCTAAAAAAAAATGTTGGAAAAATGGCCATTTTTGGACCAAAACCATGGAAAACCTTTGGAAAAATGTCAATTTTTCGACTTTTTGAACTTCTTGTTTTTATTGCCTAGAAAGGCGTTTCCTCGTTTTATAGTATCGTAAAAGACATTTTTCTGGCCTATATTGCCTAAAAAAAAAAGTTGGAAAAATGGCCATTTTTTGACCAAAACCATGGGTTAACCCCTTTGGAAAAAATGCCAATTTTTCGACTTTTTGAACTTGTTGTTTTTATAGCCTAGAAAGGCGTTTCTTCGCTTTATAGTATCGTAAAAGACATTTTTCTGGCCTATATTGCCTAAAAAAAAAGTTGGAAAAGTGGCCATTTTTGGACGAAAACCATGGGTTAACCCCTTTGAAAAAATGCCAATTTTTTTGACTTTTTGAACTTCTTGTTTTTATTGTGAGAAAGGCGTTTTTTCGTTTTATAGTATCGTAAAAGATATTTTTCTGGCCTATATTGCTTAAAAAAAAAATTGGTAAAATGGCCATTCTGGACCAAAACGATGGGTTAACCTTTTTGGAAAAATGTCAATTTTTCGACTCTTTGAACTCTTTGTTTTTATAGCCTAGAAAGGCGTTTTTTCGTTTTATAGTATCGTAAAAGACATTTTCCTGGCCTATATTGGCTAAAAAAAAAAATTAAAAAAATGGCAATTTTTTGGACCAAAACCATCCCTTTGGAAAAATACCGATTTTTCGACTTTTTGAACTTCTTGTTTTTATAGGCTAGAAAGGCGTTTTTTCGTTCTAGAATATCGTAAAAGACATTTTCCTGGCCGATATTGCCTAAAAAAAAAAGTTGGAAAAATGGCCATTTTGGGACCAAAACCATGCGTTAACCCCTTTGGAAAAATGTCAATTTTTCGACTTATTGCACTTCTTGTTTTTATTGCCTAAAACGGCGTTTTTTCGTTTTAAAGTATCGTAAAAGACACTTTTCTGGCCTATATTGCCTAAAAAAAAAAATTGGAAAAATAGCCATTTTTGGACCAAGACCATGGGTTAACCTGTTTGGAAAAATGTCAGTTTTTCCAGTTTTTGAAGTTTTTGTTTTCATATCGTAGAAAGGCCTTTTCTCGCTCTAGAATATAGTAAAAGACATTTTCTTGGCCTATATTACCTAAAAAAAAAAGTTTGAAAAATGGCCATTTTTGACCAAAACCATGGGTTAATCCCTTTAGAAAAATGTCAGTTTTTTGGCTTTGTGAATTTCTTGTTTTTATAGCCTAGAAAGGCCTTTTTTTCGTTCTAGAATATCGTAAAAGACCTTTTTCTGGCCGATATTGCCTAAAAGTAAAAGTTGGTAAAATGGCCATTTTTGGACCAAAACCATGGGTTAACCCCTTTGGAAAAATGTGAATTTTTCGACGGTTTGAACTTCTTGTTTTTATAACCTAGAAAGGCGTTTTTTTGTTTTATAGTATCGTAAAGGACATTTTCCTTTCCTATATTGCCTAAAAAAAAAGTTGGAAAAATGGCCATTTTTGGACCAAAACCATGGGTTAACCCCTTTGAAAAAATGTCAATTTTTCGACTTTTTGAACTTCTTGTTTTTATAACCTAGAAAGGCGTTTTTTCGTTTTTTAGTATCGTAAAAGACATTTACCTGGCCTATATTGCCTAAAAAAAAAAGTTGGAAAAATTACCATTTTTGGACCAAAACCATGTGTTAACCCCTTTGGAAAAATGCCAATTTTTCGACTTTTGGAACTTCTTGTTTTTCTAGTCTTAAATGGCGTTTGTTTGTTTTAGAATATCGTAAAGGACATTTTTCTGGCCTATATTGCCTACAAAAAAAAGATGGAAAAATGTCGAATTTTTGACCATAATCATGGGTTAACCCCTTTGGAAAAATGCATAATTTTTGACTGGTATGAAATTTCATCGTGATAGCATAACAGGCCTTATTTTTCATCTAGAACATGATCAACATTGATATCTAGGTCTATTACTAGTCTAGAATGCCTTGTTTTCTTACACTTCATCAAAGAATACATTTTGGCCAATTAAACAAAAGAAATAAAAATCGGTGTTTTTACATTGTATGGGGTTTGAGCATGAATTTAGCCAGATATTTTGAAATGTGGTCTTTGTTTTGGGCTATAAAGGCCTAGAAATTAGCTTTGATGATTTGGAGAAAGGAAATATACTCTACTTGACAACTAGAATTGTAAGACACTACAAGCAAATACAGTGTTAATATTATTTTAATTGACTTTTAAATTTCTCTTTCCTCACTAAAAATATTACATGGATGACCACAAAGATTAACTAACTACATGAATTATCACTAATCAAGAAAAAAAGTGTCAGTGTGTATTTTATTTTTTGGCGATTGTGGAAAGTTTCTGTGAGCGCAGAGATGACTTACACAGCAGTAGCTATAGTTCAAGTATATTCTAGAGAGTATGCCTCGTTTCCTCTCTAGCACATTAAAAATACAACAAATACCCACCACAATACTTGAAACATTGAAAGGGACATTTAACCCTTTTCACCCCGAGCGAATGATGCATCCTCGTAAAGTGGTCCTTACTTTGCAGCCTGTGCATCTGAAGGTGTGACCATTCAATGTAACCTTCTTCGGCAACACGTTCACATGGTACTATTAGTTTTTTTCCGTATTTTACAAAATAAAACTTTGAAATTTTGTCAGGTTTTGACTTTGGCCTCTTTTTAGAAAACATGTAATCTCTCCTAGCAGAATGTTTGATACCATTTAAGTCAACTCTCTGCTAGCGGGACACTATTGAGATGAGACCACTCAAATCATAGTACATCAAAATTACCAATGAATTCACCCTGAGGTACCATGATCCCAGTGATCTTGATCCAGATCACCCCAGAGGAACGCACCCCAAGTGTTCTTTTTAAAGAGGAATCCAGCTGAAAGGGAGTCAAAGAAGGTGACTACTTGAAGAAAGACAAGGGGTTATTTTACAGGAGTGTTTGTCTCAAAGGCATCAAGACAGAGGTTACTGTCATAATGTAATAATAAAGGGATACATGGAGTAATGCCGTAAGTGGCTCTTGATCCACTGTTCCATTCCTTTTCACTTCAGAAAAAAGGGTCATGTGTAATTCAAAAACTAATTAATAATACATTAAGAAGAAACAAAAGGAATTAATGTTTAATGAGTGTCTATATCTGATAAAGACACAGCTTAAACTTTCAGCTTATTTTTTAGACCAAAATAACCCCAAAAATTAACTATTAGTGCAAGAATGAGTTGATCTGTATCAGAGATTTGGAAGCCATTCAAAAACCTCACAGTTATGTATTATTAGGTCAAAAAACTTGAGGCAAACTTTGCCTCGAGGTTTTAAACCTGCTAAAACACTCCTGCTTGTTTTTTAAACAGTACATAGAATCTAGCAGTTAATCAAAAGTCACTTGTGACATTTTTCCACGCAACACTTATTACAGTAGTAGGCAACCAAGAGGTAGATACGTTGCTTGCTAAGCTACATAAGAAAGTCAATAGTTAATCATTCTATAGGAAAAAATCTCCAACCATACATTGGTAAACTTGAGTATGAAACTATACACACTTTGTTTTGATGTTTTTGTAGTCATGACAATGAGGTTAAGCTTTCTTTTTATGCATCTTGTTCTTTTACAAATGAATGAGTGGAATCTATTGGGCCAGGTGACTCATTGTGAGATTGGTTCAAGAACTATAACACTGCAGCTATATTCCCCTTAATTTTCCACAAAAAAGATATGAACGGAACCAAAAATTTAAGAATGTACCCTCAAGATCAAAAAGCAAGTTTCTCTTTCCTTCCATGAGTTTCTTGCACAAGCAACAAGGAGAAATTCTTACTTTATTGAGGGTAATCAAATCAATAGCTCTTGTTAACTATTTGCAGTTTGCTCCTTGATAAGGATTTACGGTTTAAACATTTTATTCACAAATTGCATTTGACTGCTCAAGAGAGAAATGTTCTCTGCCCTTGGCTTTATCTTCCCCTCCCCTGCAAGGTAATCCATGCATTTGTTTCCATGGTAACCAAAGCCAATTCCCTCTTCACATTCACCAAAATTCAAACTTGTTAACTGCTGATAGTTCTTCTTCATGATTGTGAATGATCAGTCATAAGGCATAAGTTAAGACTATTTAGGAAGAGTAACATAAGTTTTACACAATTTCATATTTTTCTACCGAGAAACCAACTTCTTGTGTGAATCTAACTGGCTTTTCTTCATCTACTGAAGTGATTTCTGCAATCTGCAAACAGAGGAAGGTGTTATTAAATCAGCTATTCATTATTTACTTTTAGTGCAAAACTAAAAAAAGTCTGTGAATGTACCAGGAACACTTCTGGAATGTCTTTGTACAGACTCAAAAATAAAAATTAGAGTCACACTGACTACCATTTCAAACAGTAGCACAGTAAAGTATTGCTCAGCAGCTTTCATCTAAATGATCACACTTTAGGATTTCACCCCCTGACTTGAAAGTTAAAACCATAATTTATACTACCATTGAGTCCATATTATTAGGGTTAAAATCTAACAAGCAAAATGGCCTTAAAACAGCGACAAAGACAAGATAAAATGGAGTGAAATGACATAAAGATGCAGGGGTTCCAATGAGCACTGACAGCTGACGAAATAGGTTGGCTACTTTTTTCTACAAAGAAGAAGCAACTGGTTTGAATAAAAAAAATGTATCATAAGATCTGAATGAAAAAGGAATCATGATGTGTTTTCATAAAGGCCCACTGGTTTTCCGTAATGGTTTAGTCATATGAACGCTATATTTCAGTCGTTTTTTGAACGTTTCTTTATGCAGAAGTTGTTTAAATGCAAAAGTACGTAATTTAGTTTCCATCATCTGCTCATTGCTTGTAGGAATTGACTGTGACCGATAAATTGAAAGCTGCATTTTCTTGAAAGAAAAACACGTTCTTTTGGCCTCAAGACCCAGAACCCTGAAAATCGCATTTTAGGGATTTGAAATTTCAAAATTTTCCGGGGAAGAACGTGCCCAGACCTCCTCTCCCCCCCCTCCCTAGAAAAAGAGGACTATTGGTCCCTTGTTGATACACAGTCGGTCACTCTATTCAAACCTGCTGGCTACTTCAATTTTTATTGAAACCCCCGAAGATGGGTTAAATACCAACATGGACATGGCCTACTCCTCAAAATGCAAAACAACTGTTTTTGAAATACAGACTAGGGATATATGTACCCTCCCCCCGTGAAGGCCTCACTACAGGAAAGTGTTGCTTATAATTTCATCCACAGCATTAAAAGTTAGAACTACTTTTCCAGTCTCCATAAATGTAGGAACTTGGAAGTGAAAGAACAAAACCATAAGATAACAAACCTTGAGGTCGCAGTATGATTTTGTTGATGCGAAGGACACTGAGACGGGGAAGAAGTCTCCTGGATGTCCTGAGATGCTAAACTCCATGCTTCCACTTTTATTGGATGAATCAATGACAGGCAGCTGCCACTCAAGAATAGAATGCTTATGATCATAGTGATATTCACCATCAACTTCTCCCACAACTGGTCCACCAACACCATGCCTACCATTGGACAATAAATAGTAGTTACAACTAAATCACTAAACAATGCCGCAGTGAATAATATTAGGCAGATCGAGCAAAGACAATCAATTTTTCAGTGAGTGAAAACAACTTTCTGGTGCTCAATTTGACACTCTGCCATTCGTAAATAAGGTCTTTAGATCTGTGCACGCCATTGTCACTGTCGTCACCATGATTTTTGTTAAATCTGCTTAATACTAACCTGACTTGCGAAAAAAATGTTAAGTTTTTTGTTGTTTCAGAGACTAGGTTAGGTTAGCTATTGCTTTATAGTGTTAGTATCATTCAATGTCTTCAATGAGCGAGGGTTTTCACGAGCAATTCTAGTAGAAGGAGAAAAGTGAAACCTTACAGGAGAATATTTTGAAAGAGGCTCCATGTCTGAATAGAAAAGAGTCATAGGTTATTGCACGTTAGCCTGAGAATTCTGCCTAGAAAATGGAGAATTCTTGAATCACCAATGCCAAATGAACACCCTGTACGTACGTCCTTTGGTGACTGCACACATCCACAACACCAAGAAACTACAAATGTTTGTCATGATACATCAACGCAAAGAAGTTTTTTTGATTTGAACAGGGAGCCTTATCAATAACTTTGGCAATAGACTTCTAAAGTGATGATGTCATAAAATTAAATAACAACTAAAAGGCCTACTTGCTAAAAGCTACAATGAGGGACAAAAGTCTTGAGGCACTTCTGTAAAATGGCCCCTTTTTGCGTAGTGGACGCACCTATCCCCTTTCCCTGTCTACCCCAACCCCGTTCCCCCAAAATTGATGTTGTATTTAGGACCCTCAAGTCTTTCTTTTACTTCAGACAACATTGATTTACGGGGGGGGGGGAGGGGGGTGAGGGAACTATGGCATTTAAAAGGAATGAAATAATAACTGAATTAAATGTTTGATAAAAGCACCCATTTCAAACAAGTGTGTCAACTACTTTTGTCCCTAATTGTAGCATTGTGGGGCAAATTGTCTCCGAGATACTTGTCCCACTTTGCTCTGATGACTCCATACTAATCCTCTGACTCAGTGCCTAAAGTTATTTCAAATTTAGAGGGATTTGTATGGAGTCATCAGAGCTTAACTGGGCTAATATCTCAAACACAATTTGCCTTGGAATGCTAATTTTTGGCAAGTAGAACTTTTGGGTGTTGTTCTTTCAAAGTACCCCGAAAGATCCCATAATTTTGCAAATTTAATTCTTTATGATTCAAAATTTCATCAAGATCATTGCAACTTGCTTGATAAATCAAATGCATAATTATTTTCCTGGAGGTGAATTTTGTTCTTGTGTTTACATTATTGGTGTGTCAATGTTTACCAATACATATGAGTTCAAACATACATGTAAGATGATCACTCATGGTTTAAATAATGACCCGGGTTAGCTGAACTCCATTACTCTTCCTCATACTTTTACAAATCAAGCAATTAAAATACTGATTTGCCTTATTACTGAGGGTATGGGTAAATAACTTCCACTGCAAAACCATTTTCTCACAGCAGATGTCTTCCTCTTTGTAATAGTTCCTCCTCTCTCTTAAACACATTCTCTTCCAGAATGGTTGTTAAATAGTTGCCTAACATTAAGTTAACAATAAAATTGACAAGGACACTGAGGGGACACCTTTCTAAAACAGACACCTAGAGTCCGTCAGTTTTCATTGGTTCACCTATAAGTCATACATCTCTTTAGAGCCTAGGCCAAACAAGCCATAATAGTTCATAATAGTCTATGAAAGTTTCAACTATCATCCCAACTATCACACGTTTCTATAATAGGTTTTTCCTGTTTGGTATCCTTGAGATGCTTGATGATAGTTTGTCAGTCAGTGGTTTCTTGTCTGACTTTGTTATTGTTAATGGGCTCAGCATTTTGCATGAACTTTCGCATGCAAAATGTAAAAAAAGCATCAGTAACTTGCTTGTCTGTCCCCTCTACTGAGTATGTTTCTTGTTATGCAGTAAGTCAACTAACCATAACCATGCGGTTTTTGGGGAAAGAGCCGTGATCAAGCAGAGTTTAAGCCTCTGATACAACCCTATATAGTATTACAACAGTCATTTGATTGGTATTTCACATGCCTGGAGTTTGGGGACTAGAGCATTAACTATCAAGCTCTATAATGATCATCATTCAGGAAGATGATAATAAATTTAATGGTAGTAGATAAAAGTTCAAACTGTCATCACATACAATGAACTATCATGATGGTTGGGCACCTGCTCAAGACAGTAATTTCTTGTCATAATGTTGCCTCTCATGCAGAGAGAGTTTTGTTGATGTATTAATGAGTGCTACTCACGGGACAGGAATTGAAATGACAACATCATTGAGCTGCAGATTTTCTTGAAGAAGTTCATATTCTATGTTTACATCACACTGTCCATCATTTTCCGAAGGCCAGCAGTTAACTAGAAGAAAATAAATGAAAACCCTGAATAAAAATACTCTATATAAAGAAAAGCCAACCCTGGAATTCCACTTTAATAATGAAAATATGACACAGTAAATCTATCAGATAACAAAACAAGATGGACTAGTTTGTTAGCTACATGTAAGATCCACTCTTTTTTCTTTACATTTTTAGGTTTCTGGGAAACTGCCCACCTACCCCTCCCCTAAGCTAACAGTAACACTTAATTCTCACTTAAGGAAAATGTTTGCTTGGGGGAGGGGTAAGTGGGCAGTTTCCCTGAAACCTAAATTGATATTTGATTTAAAAATGTGATTTGGCCTATTAACCCTTAAGCCCTGAGAGTGATCAGCATTAAATTTCTCCTTGTAATATCAATGCCTTGTAAAACAGAGTGGTCATGAGAATTACGGAAATAATCATACAAGATGAATTTTCTTGATATTTTATCAACTTCTCCCCACTTCTTCTGTAGGAAATGAATAGGGGCAACAAATGAGAATTCAAATTTTGATCTTAGGGTTCAACAGGTTAAGTTACCAGGACTTCCATGAAATGGGCCCCAAGGGTATTTCTAAAATACAGTTGAACCCCTCCTAAACAGCCACCTTGGGGACAGAAGAAAATGGCCTTTGTAGAGAGGTTGAAAAAAGAGTCAATGTATAGGGTGACCGCCAAAAAAGTGGCCATTGTAGAAGGCTGGAAGTAAGTGGAGGTTTGACTTTATTTACAACAACTTAGGTCACAAGAAATGACAAAAATGAGATGTCTTTCTTAAGTCACTCACTTGATAAAGGCATTAGTGCTTCATCTGTACTCTGCAACCTCCACTTCAGCACACCAATATCAGAATTAAGTGGAAAAGGTTTATTTGGCTGTTTGAGTCCTATGACCGATTCTTGACTGAACAACTTCTTGTCTATGTTTGGGTGTGTCTAAAGAATGAACATTCAAAAATTCCAGTCATAAAGTAGAGTACATAGACAGACCGATACGATACTGATGGTATTCAACTAAATTAATATTCCTTAAATAGACCACTGGTCTCCATCTAACCCTAGAGAGAGAGAGAGTGTTTATGTTACAGGTCAAAATTAAATACAGTTTTTTGAACTTGGGTTGATTCTCAGCTTCCTTTTCTCCTACATGTAGCACCATTGCTGAATAATTAGGGCCAGGAGACAAAATAAAAGTCAATGACAAACAACCTACAATAGGTTGAGAAAATTTTAATCTGAATTTACAGTTACATACATAAATGTTGTATATTAACATATACAACATTTATTTTGCTAAATGTTGCTGGATTTATTCAATTAAAATTCAGATTAACTAAACAATAATTAATCAGTCTACCCCATCATAAATATGGGAAAAGAAGTGCAATATACAATAGTAACAACACCCAAGACATTTATTAAGTTGGATTTATAATCTCCAGTTTGCTTACCTGCATTTGAAATCCCCTGTCGTCATTATTTTCTACACTAAGACGTATTTTTCCAAATTGTGCATCTGCTATTCTAAGAAGAACCAGGCCTCGAACTTCCATGTTCTGTAGCCCTCCATCCCTTCCTGCTATCAGTGTTATTTTCTCATCAACCTTAACATGAACACTAGAATGACAAAAAAATAAATTAAATGCAGTTACATGAAGTTTAATGTAGTTTACAACAAAGAGAACCATCCCATGATGAAATTAAGTGATCAGTGCTGTGGCGCAGGCCCTGCCGGCCTTGTTTGCATTGATACCGGGTTCGTACAGATTTTCAGATTCAAAATTCAAGACTTTTTCCAGACTTTTTTCCACAACAATAATTTCTTTTTCCGGACTCAAAGTTACACTGTATCGAATAGGTGATCAATAAAGGGACAAAGCTTTTCTTCATGATGCACTGCAGCAAAAGTACTGGCGAAAAAACTCAAGACTTTTTACCATTTTTCCACACTTTATTTCCATTTTCTAGACTTTTTTCAGGTCTTGAAAACTGCTGGACAAATTTCATGACTGTTTCGAGAATTCAAGGCTCTTTATGAACCCTATTGAAACAGCGTTTCATGATGTCCACTGGGCTTCATTTAGCCTTTGGACCCCACCCCAGTCTTTCATAATATAAAACAGAGAGGTATGGTCAAGCAGTAGGGGTGATGGTGATGGGTCCCTTCATAGAGACAGGGTGTTCATTAGGCATTGGAGATCAGTGAACTCTCTGTTTACTACTAAGTATTCTCCAACTAATGTTTGGTAGCCTTTGAATATTTTTCATTCAGGCATGGAGCATCTTTTAAAATATGCTTAAACTACTGTATAAAACTGCGACATGGATGAAAGCCTTCATACCTTCCAGCTTGTACTGAGGGTGCCGTTGTTGTCTTTCCAACTGAGGTTAATTTTGTCTTGGAACTTACAACTTCTAAAAAACAGACCAATCAAATACATTTAGGTAATTATTACTACTTACATGTAATTGCAAAGTGGAAAATTATCCTGATATGAGCAACTAATATGCAACAAAACTATTAATTCTGTCTTCTTTGGCATATGAATGTATGAGGCTTTACTAGATTTTATAGGAAAAAAAATATCATTTCAACATTATCATTTCAACAGATTCTTAAAAGAACTGTTTTGAAATGTTAAACACCTGGATGGAGAGAGGCAATGAAGAAAAAACAATGTGACAGCTGCTCTTTTCACCTGTCTGATAAATTAATGTACTTTTAGTATTGTAACATTGCAATCCTTCATTACTATGCTTTTGCGCAGTCGTTCTCACCTGTGCCCTCTGATCTCAGCTTATCGACGAAAGAGTCCACATCCTTTGCTTTGCTTCCTAGTTTCATAGCCTTTCCACTGCCAGCAGTTCTAGAATGTTTTACCACACAACATTATAGAGACCAATAATGTGAAGTTAATGGCAAACATCAAATGACAAAGGTGACTCTTTAAAATGCTATTTATTGCATTTGCTATCTGCCATTTTCGACACAAGGACGGGTATTTTATCATCAAAAAAACTTGAGGAAGGATATTCCTCATTAATTTTGTTATTGCTTGATACAATTACACTTTGTCATTGCTAATGTTAAAACATTCTAATCTCTTTGCTATCAACACAAAAAACTAAAATTAATGTGAATTTTCAAGAGAGGAGCTACCATTACCTACGGTAACCCTTAAAAATAGTAGAACCATTTTTTATATGTATTGAAAAGGTTTTGGAAGTGGCCTATGAAATATGGTGGCAAAGTAACTCCTGGACAAAAGAAACTTTCTTGCCCTGCTGTAAGGGGAGTGTTCGCCACACGAGTGTAATGAAACCTACCTAGTTGGATGTGTCGGCTTGGGTGGAGTGGGATCCATGATAGGAATGTCATTAACCATTGGTACACTTGAGTCACGTCCTCCGCCACCAAACCCTCCAAACCCTGGCATGTGTGGACGACCTCCTTTGCCTTTTGATGCAGCTGTTCTTGCTGCTTGCAGCTCCTTTGCTTTCTTTTTCATCTCTTCCTTAGCCTCACGCTCTTGCGTCTATGGTAACAGTACAAAATAATGTCACACATGCCTCGCAAGAATTAAAGAATGCTCGACACAACAAATAAACTAAGAAGGCATTTTTGACATAATGGGTTGTTCCAGAAAAAATCCACACCCCCCCGACGGATGGGATTCTGGAAATTCTCGCGGGAGGGGGGGGGGGGTCGAAGACTCCGGAAATCCAGGCGGGAGCGGGGGTTGACCTTAAAAAAGCCTTCTGCAGGGGTCATTTCGACCAATAGTTGATACAAATCAAACGTTTAGTTCGATGACACTTAAGCGCTTTCAGACCCTGAAAATAGTCAAAATGTTTTTCTTCATATATTTCTCACCTGACATAAATGATAATCTAAGTTGCTTTAAAGGTCCTTTTATAGCAGAAAACGCAAACAAGATACTAAAGAACGGGCCTGAAGGAACTCGTCGCAACGTTGTTGTCACGAAGAGCGTCAAACGCCTGACACATTTCTACTCGTACCCAGAGCCCGCGCGCGAAGAGCGGAGAGTGATTTTTATAAGCTAAGAAATTATGTAAACACTCGTTCAGGTGTTGTTAGCATTTTTGTTTTTGCTCCTTTCGTTTTTTAGTTCCACGCGATAGAATTCTTAGTTTAATATAAGCTGAAGCTTTAGAAATTAAAACAAAAACATTTAGGCGTGTTTGCGTGTATTTTCCATTAAAAATAAATTAAATTTAAGCCTTTTATTTTTTCCGGAAATCCAGGCGGGAGGGGGGGTCTTCCACCTTGGAAATCCAGTTGGGAGGGGGAGTCTTGTGCTTCAGGAAATCCAGGTGAGAGGGGGGGTTAAAAAAGGACCCCATCCGTTGGGGGGGTGTGGATTTTTTCTGGAATAACCCAATATAAAAAATAATGTTGAATCCAAGGAAGTCAGTCTAAGCCATGAAACTTGGAAAGATTGAACAGAGCAGCAGCTTTTGCTTAAAATTATGTGTACCATATATAAAGGTTGTACAATTCTGATAAAATAAGAACTCAAAGTCTGCAAGAGTCTTGATTCAATACAACTAAATACTTGATTCCTACAAGTGTAAATTGAGTACCATGAATTAAGAATCAGTCATTGACAATTGACACAAATGCATGTTTGATTTCTAGCAATTTTTTGAAGCAGTGAGTGTCACTATCCTCTTGAGAAGCACTGCATATAATGATGATTTCACTGTTTATTACATCCACTTTGAAATCACTGGCTATCCGTGCAATCTGATTGGCTCTCAGCAGTGTGATTTATTCCTAAATCGCACCATTTTTTGCTCTAAATCGCATCTGTTCCAAATCGCGTCATTCATGTTCTAAAACGCATCATTTCTGCTTTAAATCGCACCATTTTTGTTCTATATCGCATCATTTTTGTTTCGAATACAAAATGAGATGTAAAAGCCTTTTTGTCTCGGTTTTTTAACAAACCGGCTACTCAATCAATAAAGTATTAGTACTGACAAAATTCTGCGATTTCAAAATGGATGTAATAAAGTGGTAATTGAACTTCGTGTCGTGCAATTTAGGTCTGAAATCATACTTGTGATTTCAAATCGAACTCGCGCTGCGCGCTCATTCGATTTTGAAATCACGCGTATGATTTCAGACCAAATTGCACTCCACTCAGTTCAATTACCATTATTTATATTACGTTGCAATTTAATTTTTATCAAATTAAAGTTAACACTTGCCTGCCGCACAGCACGGAACACCTTTTCCTCATGACTGTCCATTTCTGTGAACGTTCTGATTTGTGCAAGATTGACATTTTCACGATATCCCAGGGCGACAATTTCATCAAAGGCAAAGATTAGAGAAAAGGCATTCTCTACAACTTCAGACTCTTCCATCACTTTGCAATATTCAGGAATCTGTGAAAAGAAATTGTAGCAAGATGTACATTGGTAACGATTCATTTCCTTCAAAATTCAATGAACTACAATTCTCACGCACTGAATACCATTTTGTCTGTCACACAACAATGCAACAGCACTTTAACCCGTCAAGTCCCAATAGCGACCAAGATCAATTTTCTCTTTACAATATCCATACATCGTCAAGAGATTTGGTTATGAGAATTTACAAAATGAACACCTACTGCTTTGCTTTGATCTTTTATCAAATTCTCTCAACTCATTCTTTAAGGAAATATATAAAGATCAGTTTGGAGAATTTGTACGTGGATATAATGGGACTTACAGGGTTAATCACAACCATCACCAAAATATTTACAACAAACAAGGAAAAATACAAAAACCATCCTGAACTTAGTGCACCTTATCAGGGTCTGAAATTAACTTTTTAATACAGGCGCCAACTGGCGATCAAGTATAAATTTTTGGTCACCAGAGGGCAAATTGTGGTCGCCAAAAATTCCCCCCTCCCTTTTTTTCAAATAAAATTTTAAACACGAATAAAAACCATACGTGTACGAGTGAAGTCTTATTTTTTCCACAAATTACTTTTTGGAGATATAAAGCTATCTGACCTAGAACATAGGAACAGAAAGCTGTCTGCCCATGACTGCACTGATCATATCAAAACTCTATTTTCTTCCGATAACTACCACGAAACACGAAACATAAAAACGCGACAAGTCGCCATGTTGCTCGTACCAGGCCACAACTGTGCCACATTACTTGTACCAGTCCACAAAGTACATAACGTACGCTGAAAACAACATGGCGCCTTGGAAACGTTCAACTCGTATTGATCGTAGCTGTTGTGGAGGTATCATTACAGGAAGATTCGTTTCACTTTTAATTAAAAAATATCAGCAGGACAAAAAGGAAGACACCTGTTGGCAAATAGCTTCGAGGTTTCAATTCTTAATCAGTTTCTCCGAACGTTAAAGTCCACAATAACAACCAGCTTTACAAGTCGCTAGCTGGCGACCAGCTATGAAATTCTGGTCGCCAGGACTAAATTTTTAGTCGCATTGGCGACCAGGAAGGCGCAATTTCGGACCCTGTGTATTCAACCTAACTCACTTTTTTTTTTTAACTGGCAAAGGGCAGGTGTTAAAACACTTTTGTACTCTTTGGCAAGAAACAAAACTGAATCACACGATTAGTGTGAAAACCGATACCCTCAATTGTAACTTGTGCCCAGGTTCCATTCAGTGTGAGGAACTTTATTTCTTGCCTCTTTTGCAAGCTCAGCCGGTCAAGGCAAACATATGCACATGTATCCCCCCCAAAAAACAAGCCAATGAGCTGCATTTTAGAGCAGAAAATTCTACTTGTACATAAAGTTATAAACTAGAACATTGATAAAGAATTAATGTGTGATATGTTGTAGTTCATTTTTTGATTGCTTTCAATTGATCTACTAAAATAATAACCAAACTAACAATGATAACTAATTATTGTGCACAAGCATTTATAAAAACAAGGAATAAAATTGAACTACAAACACTTTTATCTCCAGAATAATAAAAACCTTCATGGAACTAGAAGATAAAGCCTTTAAGGATATGTACCAGAAATAATCACAATCACATTTACCACCAATTAATGGATTTCAAATAGCCTTGTAGACATGACAACCCCAAAAATGAAAAACAAGTGAAACAGCTCAAAATATTGATCAAGATGGGAACAACAACATGGGAAGAAAGTGATGCTTTTCAGTCCTCAATAATTCTTGTCAACTTTTCTATCCATATGACAATGACATTGTAGTTTAACCCTTTATACCCTAAGATCAACATTTGAATTCTCATTTGTTGCCCCTATTCATTTTCTTCAGAAGTAGTGGAGAGAAGTTGATAAGATATCTACATGTACAAATTTCATCTTGTGTGATCATGTCTGTAATTCTCATGTCCACTCTGTTTTACAGAGCATTGTGTTTACAAGGAGAAATTTGATGCTGGTCAGTCTTGGGGCTTAAAGGGTTAAAGTAATAAATAATAAAAAAAGCACCCGTCTCTTACCACTCTGGAAAATAATCTCAGTGTTTCCAAATCCTCCAAAATATTACTGGCTTTTGTCGTAATGAGCAGCATGTAAAGTTTCTCGAGAGGTTGATAAACATATCGCACACTTTCTGTCTCCACAAATGTGTGCTGTTTACCAGTGTTCATTAATTTCGGAAATGCGGCTAGAAGACCCTCTATTCGTGACCGCGTCATTTCTACAAACTGGCGTGATACAATGGCTGTGGAACAGAAAGATCAGTAAGAAGGTTGAGTATGATTGTCTGGGTGAACATAGTCCTGAATAGGACTGTTGTTGACAGTGACTGACATTTCAACAACCCGTGCGGTAGTCATCTTCAGAATCAAAGTGAGTTGTAGCACATCAGTTGATGGTATTAAACTCTGGTTATTGACCTAATTGGTCAATTAAGTCACGATATTATTAGTCATCTGTCAGTCAAGCCATGATGTTATTGGCTATGAAGACTCTCAAATGTTATGGGTGCGTTTTGGTCCGTCTTTTTGTAACAGTTGAACAGTCATTTAATGTTAGTCAAATTGACAGGTATCAGTCATTCTGTTGTCATCAGTTTCGCTTAGGTCTGTCAATAAGTCGTATGTATGGTACTGTAATAATTTTGGTGAAAGACCAATGTGCAACACAAGAATGCATAATTTCAGGGCTGTCATTGGCAGCTGGCAGCCAGCTTTTTTAGCCTCTTACCATACTGGGCTGAGCTTTAAATTCAGAAGTGACAACATACACACTATATGTGGGTTCAGTTTGCTTGTTGTTTTTGCTTTTGCTAAAAAAAATAATACTCTTGTTTTTCCTTTCCACAAAAACCAAAATTTCTAAGAGTCTAATTTAATCAGGAAAGATAGAAGAGGAATTGATGTGCTACAACTAGGTCGCCATTTTTTGTTACACTTGTAATAGACATCATCATCATCATCAATATTGTTATTATTATCACTACAGTAGAATCCCGGTAACTCGAACGCTGAAGGGAAACGAAAAACAGTTCGAGTTAGCAGAGAATTCAAGTTATCGGGGTAAATTTCAGTGAAATTTTGATCAAGGAAAGGAAATTTAGTTCGAGTTAATGGGAAATTTGAGTTATCCGAGTTCAAGCTATCGAGGTTCCAGGGCTGTCAATCCCCCATGTCCTCAAATATTGAGAATTGATAGGGAAGGGATGATGAATGACGTCATATCGCATGTCATTTGAGCAAAAAATACTTCTTGACTCTGCTCAATGTATATGCCCCAGAAAACAGTTCATATTAAGCAACATTATTGCTTAAACTACAATGGCATGCCAGAGTTTATGAGGAACATCCCATGTTAACAGAAAAATTACTTCAAACCACGCAAAAAATTAAAATTTTAGGGTCGGAAAGTCGAGTCAACAAGAAATGGCAAACTGTGGCAATTATCCGGGAGATTTTTTACTCTAATCTGGAGACCGGGAGATATGGTTGAGAACCTGGGTCTCCCAGATTATGCGGGAGAGTTGACAGCACTGAGGTTCTACCGTATTACAATAATTATTATCAATTATCAGAGCAAATCCAGTACATAAATATAAACAGTTATTTCGAAAATAATCTAAAAAGACCAACATAACTATCCAAGGTTAACAGTCAAAACATTTTCAATGAAAAGTTATATAATTTTTCAATATAGTTAATAGACTAAGAATTCAACAAACCTTTTCCAGTTTTGGTGCATATTGCTGCAGCTAGGAGAACCTGATAATGAGAATAATTTTTGTGCAAATAAAATCAGAACTTTTCTCTCCGTGGTACAGACGTTATATAAGCTTATTTTTCTTATTCCAACGTAAAACATTAATTTGGTCATTGACTACTCGGTGATCTCTGCATGCATTTCAGAGTTGACTCACCAATTGAAATGTTCAATATAGAGGTTTTGCTTTAAAACATAAATAATAAAGCTTCGGGAATATAAAAACAACGATATATTTTCAACAAAATAGAACTGATCTTTCTGACATGTGAGAAATGTGGTCAGTGAAAGACGGTCTCATACTACATCCTATTTTTTTGAGACCAACTTAAACAAAATAAAGCACCATTTTTGAGGCAATAAAAAAGCATGGGCAAAGAGAAGAATAAATGAACTTACCATTTTGACTGCCAATTACAATTTTACCTCGAATCTGGCCTCTCAGAGGCCAAAACTATCGCTATTTTCGAGTCTTCTTCTCACGCCACGTCCTCAAAAGAATCGTAGAGGAAAGGCGCAAAGATTCCTGGGAAAAGCCATTCTGCGCATGTACTTCATATTTCTTAGTACCCAGTCTCTATTTCGTTCAAATTTAAAAAGCGCTCTGGAGTCGAGAGCATTCGGTCGGAAAAACAGAAAAAGAAGAAGAAATAACATTTAGAAATGATTTTTGCTTTTATTCTATTTTCTTTTCTAATTTGTGGAGCCCATAACCCGTCACAGAGTTTTTACAGACCAGTTAACAGACCGCTTCGTCTGTTAACGGCGGATATAGATACCAGGTACAAGATATCAAAAAAGAAAGCGATGTACGTCATTAAAAGTAAAAAAAAAAAAACAGTTTTCCAGTCTGTCTGGTGACTGGTTTGTTATTCAAAATTTGCATAAGAAACGTTATAAAAAAATAATAAATAAACTGGATTCGTCGGTGTAGCCTCGTCCCGAGGCCAGTAGCAGGTGACGTCACATTTGAAGACAAACTGGGAACGAGGCTCTGCTCTCCCGTGTTCTGAAATGGATCCAAATTAAAAAAAAAAAAATCCTTGCTAGACTTACTTGGAAATGTTTGTTAAATGCGTTTTTGTTCTTGGAATTAATCAAGATCTTGGTGGTTCGCCAGTCCAGACATTAACAAGAAAAGACTGAGTACCAAAACCGTATTCCACCTTTTCCGGAAAAATTTTCAACTGCTTGAGCTGTATCCTTGAATTTTGAACGTTAAGTTTAGCTTTTGAAAACTGGAATGGTAGAATTAACAGCGCTATTTATTACTATCATAATTTTGCTTGGGTGCGGAGAGTTTTAACGAAAAGAAGCTCGTTAACTTTAGAGAAAAATTCAAGATATCTCAAATTGACTAACTATGTTATACATAGTTGCCATTTTCCCAATTAAAATCAAATAAAATGAAAAACGCTTTTAAAATGTCATTTGACCACAGTCGAATAGAACCTACCGCGTCCGGTTTGGGCAAGTTGTCATTGTTACAATGTTTGTAAGTCAGTGGTTCACAGTTAATGAATATAGGATACTTCTAGAAAGTTACTAAATTTGCGGTTGAGTTGACTTTTACTTTAAAGTGTTCTGAAACAGACAATTCCATATATGTAAAACTAATAGAATAAAATAACCGACGTGGAATGGAAATTCTGAGAAGTGACGCAGTTTTAGAAGCGCTAAACTTATTGAAAGACAGGTTTCAGTAGATGTGTGTTTGAAACCGCAGGATAAAACACTTTAAAAACAACTTGAAATTGTTCTCGATAATCATGCCCTGACTGCTGTCTGGTTGGTTGATTATTTTTCTACCGAACAGGCCGTAAATAATTCATTGATATTGACGCTAGATGTCGTCTTTAGTGGTTAATTATCTTCTGCATATTCGCTTCCTTTTAGCGTCCTTAAATTTGGCGAACGACCTAGAGAATACCTCTTAATTCTAATCTTAGTCGTGGCATTGCTGATTCAAGGTAAGTGAATTTGTTGCTCACAAGTTAACTTTGATTCAACAAGGAGGAAAAACTCCAGGTTTAATAGATGCAATAGTTAATAGCCACCGAGTTTTAAGGAAGTGAATTCAACCAAAGCTTCAGACTATGTCGCTGAGTTATTATGTAAATTCAACTAAGTTTTTTCTCTTTATGCACATTTTTCTTTCAGTGGTCGTTCCGTTTCTACATATTTTTGAATGAATAACAAATTAAGAATTTATTTGACATAATTGACTGACAAGACAGTTATAATAAGAATCTGAGCTGTCGCAATCAAAATCATAAGTAATTACGACTTCTGAATTTAACCTCTATCAAGCTTATATACGCAAAATTCTCTTTCACGGCCAGCACAATTGCAATTACTTCCTATAATTCCAGTTTTACTGATAAACAAATGCTTTTTTCATGGTTTCTGCAAGTTGAAGTCCAGATAAAGACTTTTACGTTTTTCAAGATTTAAGATGAAATTGTGTTCACGATTTGTTTGAAATACGAAATATGTTACCACAACATAGTTAACTTTTGAGACGTATGTGGTTGCGTAGTAATTAAGAACGTCATATGTGCTTTAACCGAATGAAAACGTTACAAGGGTTTTTCATTTGTGTAGCTTATCTCCTCGATGAATATCTTTTGAAACAAAAATGAGGTTATCTGTATCAGAATCAGGTCTTAATAATCAACAAAGACTTTTGATATCTGATTTTCGATATCAATCCGCAAAACAAGATCAAATCAATACCTCACAAATTTCAAGTTCCATCTGGCGTCCCATACACTTGTTTTTCCTTGTAAAATGTAAACAGCAGTTACACAAAATTCATTGGAGTAATTAAGGCTTCTTTAAAAATTCAGTCGTTTTGAAACTTACCCATTAGTGCGTCAAAATATGTAAGTAAATCCGAATTTTATTTCAAACCGCGCGGGATGGGCTACATCTACTGAGCGAAGGTTCCAAATTTCCGTGTCTTCGCAGAAACTAAGGTCTGGTCCCCTTTTTAATCGTTGCCAAAACCAGCGACGAGGCAAGGAATAGCATACACACGAAAGCAGGCGCGTGACACTTTTTGCTCAACACCTTTTTTATTCACGTCATAGTCATGTGACCACACAAGAAGCTACAACAACTTTCTTTCTTGTTTCGCTTAGCGGCCTGTCCTCACTGGAGCTTCACTGGGTCTCGCGGAAAGACTGGCTTCTATGTGTTTTTTTTGGATGGCGACTTTTTTCAATTTATATATCTGGTTACCATGACTACCAGGAACCCGTCAGTATATGGATGCTTCTCACTTTCCTGTATTTTGTTAACGAAAAATTATCAAACAATGTGCAAAGAAATAAAATACACAAAGGAGCTGAAAATGTAAAATGAAACTAATGAAATTTGGAATGAAAACAAAAGCAAAGAACTATCTGAATTTTCTTGACAAGCAGTTGTTATTTGTTATTTATATCGGATTTCTAGTGTATATGTATTAGCAACTCATTCCTCAGACAGTATTAAACTGATCGATTGGACACGGTAGTGTTGACTTGTTAAATAAAAGCGTAATGACAAAAATAATGATCTACCCCCATCTACGTGCAGCTCAAATTAATACATGCACACAATTACGTATGCAAATGAACTTCACTCACGAAGCTAAAGGCGGAATCGGTGAATTGTTTTCATGATATGTTTTTAATATGTTTTATTAGTTCGTGGACTGGTAAAAAGCAGTCGCATAAAATGGAAAAAGAGGAACTTGACTAGATCAGGTAAGTAATCGACAATAATTTCGTCTTTTCAATTTTCTAAAATTTGTTTATTTTTACTGTGGCTTGAAATTCTTGTGTATTGAGAAATGACAACCAGCATTTGGAATCATGGCTATAAACTAAGATTTTTAACGTAAGAAGAAGAAGAAGTCTTTGTGATGCTCAAGCACTTAAAAAAAAGAAAAGAAACTGATATCGTCAAGATCGGTCGGAAAAGTGTCATAATTTTGATCGTTTTAAAGCAAGATGTCTTCAGGATATAACCGACGAGTTTATTTTTACATTTTCAATTACTGAACGTCTCTACGAAAATGACGGACATAAGGGTACAGTTTCAAATTCTCTGGTCATTTTTGTGGCCTGCTTTAATAGCTTGTACCACACAGCTAGACAACAATCTTGGAATGAAAAATAGTGAATTATTCAGGTAACACGATGAAATGAAAAAATCCCCCATACTATTTTGTTTCCGTTGACTCAAAGATCAGGAGCTCATAATAAGAGGCTCACTGTGTTTATCAGCATAAAAATAAAAATAATATCGTTTATTTTTCAAAACGAATAAACATTTTCTCAACAAACAAATTCTCTGTTTGTAAATGCTTGATGGTAGTCTTTTGAAGTTGACATTAAATTTATCCAGTATGCCTTTACAAATTACATGTAAGATCTTGGCGAACAGAAATTTATTCCGCTTTGAGAAGAGTCAGAAGAGTTATTAAATGGTCGACACTTATTGCAGTGGTTTCGTCGCTTTCACTCACCGGGAATAGAGCTGAATTCGGTGAGCGTTTGGAAGTTTTTCGTTTTCCCAGCTATATAAAACAGAGAGACAAACATTCGAATCAAATAATGTTGCTTTTATTGAATGTTAAGTTACGAATTTTTCGAAAATACCTTAAGAAAAACAGCTGACATTCGGTCATAACAGCCGTGTCGATTGAATCATTAGCAGTAAGAAAAAATGACAGAAAGATGAACAAATATAATGATGGTATAGTTTTAGTTGAGATAAATCAAGCCTCAAGCTGTGGCATTTTTGGAAAAAAGTTTCATCACCGGAACTGTAAATTAAATTGTATGAAATTTCTAAGTCAATTTTCCGTTTATCATACAGAGTTTGTTTTGAAGACAATATTTAGTATACGTAGCGCATATGACATTTACTTGTCTAAGTTTCAGTAAAAAGACCTTCGACAGTTTGTTTTCGTGCACTAAGAGAGATATCGAAGAATTAATATCTACACTACAATAGTTGAATTTTTAATACAGATCATGGTCAACTCTAGATTCTTTTCAGTTCCCAGGAGCAGTCGAAAGACCATCGCATAGCTTATGCTGGTCTACGCTCCTTGCAGTTTTACCAATTTTACTTTGAATTCAACTAGCAATGCTTTCAAATTACAATTAGCCCCATAAAATATTTCAACAATAGTATTATTTTCCGATCCGTGGGGTAGAACTTGTAAGGCGAGTTTCAAAGAAATGAAATGTTTTATTTCAGTGTATGGCAGAACCAGCAGGTGTTTCTGCGAGACTCACTGCTTAGCAACGGCCAAAATCCTCGCTTCGAAACGAGGTCAAGTTTTCAGGGGCAGATCCAGGATTTTTTTTCAGGAGGGGGTGCACTCGTCTCTTGCTCTACTTCAACACCAATAAACCACATAGTTTTTTTTTTGCAGAATACCAGTTGTATTAGAAAACTGCAGGTCATCTCAGGGGGGGTGCGCACCCCCTGCACCCTCCCCCTAGATCCGCCCCTGAGTTTTGATCTTCCAATCCCTTCACGTTCATTACTACCCGTAGGAGCCTGGCTCCCAGGATTTTTCCGTTATGTATCTTGGCAACAATTTCAAAGCTCTAATTACAGTCGAACCTTCCATAAGCGACCACCCAATCGAACCACCGGCCACAGGGGACATGGGGCGCGCGCCCCATGTCCCCACCTCTTCCAAGAAGAGGTCCTGGCACACCTAAATTATGGAAGATATTGCAAACAATATAATTTCCAAGTTACGCCATGGGTAAGTCCAATTTTTTTCTAAAGTTCGTCGTATATTCAAGGTAGCACAGTGCGTACAGCGAACACAGAGATCAGAGAATGCGTCAAGTGGTCGCTTGCAAAAGAGATGCGCGCGGAGAGAGTTGGGAAGGAGGAAGCTAAAGGGAGAGAAAGAATGGGTGCGAGACTAAACGTACATGTCTCCACAAAAACATAGTTTTTTTTTGGTTGCTTCTTCTGTCCTTCTATCCACACGTAAACGATCCTAGTTCTTCAAAGTTTTTCTTTTAACAAATATCGGAACCCTTTTACACTTTTTTGCTTGGACGCACTTACAACCTTGCCTAGCCTCGTGCCTAGGCGCTTCTAGTGATCACCACGCAGGATCATGGGAAAGCTTCAAAATTGGAAAGGAGTAAGGCCGGCTCAACGTTAAAAGGCTTTCCTTGTGCCTTTGCGTTTCTGAAGCCTTCCCATGATCTCTGTGCCGCAACACTGTCGAAATTCCCACTGAGAAGCGCTTGTGTTCAACCAGCGGTACTACAAATATTCGCATACGGAGTAACAGTTTAATAATAATAGCCGCCGCAGTAGTAGAAGATGTAGGAATGCAAAATATGATTACATACAGCCTTTGACAAAATGGGCGGGATTTTAAAATAATCCATTACCTTCATCACCCAGGAACATAATACAGAAATTGATATCCAAGAACTGGATGACATTTTCCCTTGATAGCTTATGACATTTCAAAATGTTTGGTAGATATCCGAGATAAAATAACATTGGAGAGGAGAGGTTTTAGTTTAAGCAAACACCGTGCCGTTTTTCGTTTGCGCCATTTGTTATTGCCCGTATTTCCCAGTAGATACTGCACAATACGGACACCTGTTATTTCACTGTGGCAGGTGATAACTGTTGATATCCACTCCATATTTTATTACAAAGTGGTAATGTGTCACGATTTAGCCTATCTCGCCGATCCAGACACGATTAAGATTTTCCTCCCAAGAAAAGGTTTGAATTATGTTAAATGCTGTTGTATCTCTGACGTTGGCGATATCGTATCTGTTAGCGATCGTTAGTCGACGAACAAGCAACGAATAAGTTCACGTTTTACTTATGACTGACAAAACCAAATAACTCTCACCCGAAAAATTTGCACTTTCGATTACAGTTGACAAATAATCAAAGCTTTTTTGCAGTTTTAACTGATAGTATTTGGAATCTACAACAGCCATTTAACAAGATGCATGATTCGTTCTTGTCAGGAAAGAGTTCACTGAGCGTTGCTACTGTTTGAAGCAAGCTAAAGCTGATTTCAAATGGTGATTTTTGAAGATCGCTTCGACTTTGAAGGGTGTTTTAGGTAAGACTATTTTGACGCTGTTTGATTAATTAATCTGTTATCTAAGTCCGCTTTGAAAACAGTATTTAGTAATGGAGTTCAGGTCAATTACCCAGATTATAGTCGTCATGAAACTTTCCTTGATCCATTTCCTCTTTTATTACAGACAGAACGATCAAATGGTGCAAATCGCAGTTAAGTAATGAAATCACTCGCAGTGAAACATTTTTTTGCGATCAGAAATTATTACTTACTTTTACAAAATAACGTTTAATTTACAATTGTGTGTCTAAATTAAGAGATTTAAAGCGATATTTGTTTTTTCGATTGATGACACTGGAAGTCTGAATTTTACATGTAAATCGTAAAAGAAGTCGTACTCGCGTGCAAAATGTTATTTTCTCAAGCTTTTTATCTCCCAGCTCTTCTCCCGCGCCGCGCGATCGATTGTCACTCGCCCCGCTCGGCATAAAGTTGTACACGCGTGTCTTTCTCGCGCTCTTCCTTAATTCTTAACGCGCGCCCAATACATCCCAGGAGCACACCATAGAGGCTTGAGTTGGTGTTGATGAAGAAAACGTGTTTACAAGCCCTAGTCGAGTCATTCAAGCTCACTGAGGAGATAAACGCACTTTCGCTATCGCTCTGTCGGGCGCGTGAGATGTGCACGCCATATACGTCATGTAACGAATGTCAACACTCCGCCAGTCCAGTCAGTTCGATCGCACTCATGTTGTGACGTCAGAAATCGACCTTATCTCTTTCAGTTCTGTCGTTGATACGTGTGATTAACCAACCCGCAATAAGGGGATGAAGATATCGAAACCTCAATTTTTCAAGACAATTGACAGCAATTGGGCGTGGTAAAGGGCTTCCAGGCGTTTCCTAGAAAATCGAAGTTTTGTTTGATCTGATGTTGACCTTAGTTTTCTCTACTTTACGCCAAAAAATGTCTTAAGGCAATTTAAAAACAATTCCTGATCACAGATTCATTCGCTTTTGGCTCTCACCCTCATCCACTTCGAAACCTGCCCACTGGCCTACAGCGATATTTAAAATGATCTTTAATAATAGCCGTTTCACGTGTTTCCTGTTGTTTCGATCCTTTCTTCCTCCAAACAATTATCTTCAGCAAGAACCATATATATAAAAATGAGTTTCGACATCAGTAGTTTATTCTTTTAAGGCGACTGGAAATCGTTTTAAAGGTGTTTATTGCAAGGCTGTCGAAAATTTTTTATTTCCTTTGCTCGGCGGCACCTTTTACTTTTTATTTTTCGTACCCTCATAACATGAACATAATTAACTTAGCCCTTATCAAAGTCCACCAGTGGAAAATTGAGGAGCGAAAATATTCCTATTTTCACGATACCAACTACCCGAATTTAACTGAATAGTCCTGTAGGTTGTATACCCTACCGTAAACTGTCGCTTACAAGCCTCGGGCTTACACATCTTCGTAAGGGGTTTTAGGAGGGCGGCTTATAACCGGGGGGACTTATATCCCAGGGGGCTTATTACCGGAAGGGCTTATATCCGAGGGGGCTTATAACCGAAAGGCCTTATATCTGAGGGGGGCTTATAAATCCAAGGGTCTATATCCGAGGGGGATTATAACCGGAATCGAAAAAGAGCTTCGAAACAAGCTGTAGCAGTGTTGATCTAAATACGTTTTGCATTTACTAGTTTTTAATTTTCAAAACGTGATAATAAATCGAATTCAGAGGCGGGCAAAAATTATTGTTTCATGTTTGTCAAAAAAACATCCCCCGACTTGGAGTAAAACTTGTCACTCACTGGGGCTTAACACGTACGTACCTGAAAAGCCATGATATTATACTTACCCACCCACTGCGATGTTAAAGATAAATAGATTTGTTTCGTAACATCATATCTTTACCGTCAGTGCGAAAACTTTTTATTCTTGATTGCAGATAATTGACTTTCACTTTATTTCCTAGGCTCTTTGACTTCACTCGAAGCGATGCAAAGGATGCATGAATCTTTCTTAATCAGGACTTTACTGTTTCTTGTATCTGTCTACTGTATAAAGACAAGTGGTAAGCGAAATTTGTTTGTATGATTTGTGCTGTTTGTCACGGCCTCTAATTTTTTCCTGTGTTTTCAACTCGGTACTTGAGATCTGTTTGATCAAAAGCCCATAGGTTCCTGACGTGGTACTACGATACAATTCACAGTTATCATTTTTTACAGTGTATCCACTCTATACCATTATACCACACACATCGGGAAATTTTAAGCTTGGTTTTCGCGATAATTTATGAACTAATGATTAGAGTAAAAACAATCGAAACCTAAAACTGCTCCTTAAACAGCTTAAAGTATCTTGTGAAGCGTAACTTATATGCATTCGAGATAGACAGGATAGAAATGATCCCGATTGTGTCAGAATGTAAATAAAAAGAAACTAGGCCCCATCATTTGAGGACTTTAAACATGTCTGAATGAGAAAATATGATATTGACAAAGGTCGTTATTTTGACCAACGCTGACAAGCGAGCGTGTTGATCGTCTTGAACTACAATTTGGCGCGCGTACGTGATGTATGTCACACTAATAGGAAGGTAAGGAAGTTTGATTTTTAAAATTCTTTAAAAAGAGTTTTAAATGCAGTAGCATTAGTACACTGATTGATTTGAACAACTGATTATTCAATTCCGGAAGTGGATCCATCTTTGTCCTGTCACTCGAGTGGAGCGTGAAACATGCGCCCAACCGCGAAAACCGCGTGCGAACTTCGAGAAAAAGGCCTCGCGCAGACTTAAATTGCGTGATTGAATTTGACAGGAAGGCGAAAGGGGCGTTGTTAGGGAAAAAGAAACTATTGTACTACCGTTGATCAACCTCGTACCCAGGGCAATTCACTGACAGGAGAAATTGGCAGGGGCACTGGGAAACTAGCCTGCGTAGCAAACGTTTCCGTGCGGTTTAGGAGCAAAGAACGAGGAAGGAGAGTCAAAGACCGCGCGAAAAATGGCGCGACTAAAAGAGCGGGGAGGGGGTGGGGAAGAACGAGAACGAAATCTTTTGTCAACGCTTACCTTATGATGAAATTACTTATTATCTAGGAATTTTCTAAGAATTAGGATCAATTTTTTGAGACATTTTGATCCGTTTGATCCTTTAAAGCATTCCGCTTTGGTGATCATTCTTTTAATTCTCATAACCTTTCCTGTTGACGTTGGTCACTCTTGGGAAAAGCGCCGTGGGGACGAGATTGAAGTCGGATAAGACGCCTGGCGCGCACGACTAACAGATTGAAAATGTCTTCACTTACAGTGACATAGCCTGCGAAAACATCCGTTTCTCCTCGCTCTTCGTCGCTGAGGACGTTTCGTCCTCCGCGCGAAACGTCCTCAGCGACGAAGAGCGAAGAGAAACGGATGTTTTCGCAGGCTAACAGTGACAAGTAGCAACACTCTTAACTTGTGATGATTTATTTTTTGACAACAGACGGAGCTGTTTCTACACAGCCTAATGCAAGCCATTACATAGCAGAAGGCGAAAAAACGAGTATTAACTGCTCTCTAAAGGACGAAGCGTTTCAAGGTTGGTTTATGAATGGCGAAAGAATACCCCATGATCCATTGCAAAGACGGCATGTAAAAAATGACGGAAACCTGTGGTATAGTTTGAATATAAGGAGGGTGAATAGAACAGATGATGGGCCGTATGAATGCCGTGGAGAAACGAACAAAGCTCAAGTGATGTTATATGTAGAATGTAAGTACTGCAGCGGAAATAGATAGAGCTATTTTCGTACGACCTTGAAAAATGGTTTCGGTAAGTGTTCGTCATTTGTTTTATCAGCCAATGGATGAAAAGATCAAGACATGGTCTCTTCGTTTTCCCGCCAAAGAAAACCCTAATATGGAGAAGGCATTGTTCGATTGACCAATCGTGTTGCAGTATGACGTCAAAGCGAAGTATCGATTGATTTCTAGAAAGTTCCCGTACATGAAGTTTTTTTCACCCGAGCGTTCGCTTGACCAACCAAAAGCTACGCGCGGTTGTATCCGTTCCATAAACCAATCAAAACGCTCTATTTTCGTTCGTTTGTTGTTTCTGTTTTGTCCGCGTGTTTTCATTTCAAGGTCATACGAAAATTGCTCTATCATTGTTTTGACTTTAAGTTCTTTTCGTCTCACGGTTAGTTTTTGCCCTCATCCAAATTCTTTTTTGTGCCCTCTTTTTGGCTTCTCATCTCAAAGGGAGAGAGTCTTTTCGCGTCTCTCAGGAGTTTGTGAGTAGAGACAGCTGAAATTCTGGCTAGTATCGCTAAGGGTCTTCCTTGTTTTAAATAAAGAAAATAGAAAGAAGACAAGAAGAAAGGAAAAAGAAAATAGAACGTTTTCAATGATCAACAACGTATAAATCTAAATCAAGGTCACTAGACCTCTTATTTGGCTGCACAGCTCAAAATGGCCTTTTTTAGGGGGGGCAAATAAAACCTGAGCCACACCCAGATTGGTCCCCCTAAGAAGAGCCCCCTCCCTTTCACATTGATGCCCCTCTTCACGGCCCTTATGGCTTATAAACTTCCTTTTTGCATTGTTGTAATTGCAGACCGTCCTGTATTTATCAGCGAGAGGTCCACAAACAATACGGTGTACTCATCGGTTGGTGGCAACGAAGAAGTCACTTTGACTTGCGTGTTTGACGGGTTCCCTGTTCCTCGCGTGCGATTCAACATATTTGGAGAAGAACTGAACAACAGCGGTATCACTTATGCTCCTGGTTCGGCATCATACAGGTTTTTGACAGAAAGTCAAAGTGATTTTGGATTTTACACGTGTAAAGGGACAAACAGCAGAGGAAGTGCCTCGCACACAATAGAAGTCCACGAGCGAGGTATTTCAGCCATGATTTTCTCAAAGCCCTCTTTAAATCTTTTAGGGCTTGTACCAGCTTAGAAAACGAGGAAGGAAACAGAAAGGTTAAAAACAAATGATAAAGAGAGAAAGAAAGGAGCAAGGAAACAAGAAGTAGTAGATTTGGTGCGAAAGTCAGTCAACTACGACGTGATATGACCAATGGTTAAGTTGGGTCCCTTCTAAAATATCATTATCATTATTATTATTATTATTATTATTATTATTATTATTATTATTATTATTATTATTATTATCATCAGACATTCATTCTTTTGGAGAAAACTAATGGCAAGGCGATAAGATAAAAAGAGAACAAGTTTAGTTAGAATGCTTGCAGTCCATCTTTTCTCCTAGAAAATAAGAGACTGCTCACAGGCTACAGAATGGTGGATTAAAACGCGAAAAACGAACGTTTGAAATTATAGGGGATGTAATAAGGCTAGGAAAATAATGTCCCTGTGAATTTTTTTTGAAATTACTATAGCTGTCATGCTATTAGGACCATGACATTATGCAAGAGAGACGACCAACTTAACGCGCCGCAGGTTATCTAAATTGTTCAAATTTGTAGCGGTTGTTTCGTTCCAGGCGTTTCCGAACCTCCAAACAACATCCGAGCATCGTCGAGTTGTAACAGCGTCGATGTAAAGTGGGATCCGGCTGAAAAAGATGGCGGAAGTCCGGTGATCGGATACTATATTGAACTTAGGCATGAAGGGAAAACATTAAAATCAGAGTACCTTAAGACCTCACTTCGTAAAAAGACCTTCAAAGAGCTAGAGGTTAAAACTTTGTATGAAGTACGAATGAACTCTGAAAACGCCTTCGGGAAAGGAGAGTGGAGAATGGTTTCCATCAACACTACTGAGGCATGTAAGTGACGACTAGTGAACTGATTATCTTTCTCTTCTCCTGCACTGTCATCTCTATGCTGCGATTTCTACTTAGTTCCAGGGAGGGGGGGGGGGGTTACTCCTTACAATGGCCTATCCCCGCCCAAAAGTCGTATCTACTTCATGGCTTCAAGTATATGAAGGGTAGGGCTTTCACAACATGAACTACCCGTAAAATTCCGAAAATAAGCCCCTCCATGTATAAGCCCCCAAACTCTTCAGGCTTCAACCCTCCGTTAAATCGCCCCTCCGAATATAAGCATGGGGGTTTTTCTTGGAAATTGCCCTCAAATACAAAGCAAAACAAAGAAAAACGGTTAAATCTGTCATTTTCCCTCCGATCTTTAAAATGGCCTTTGAAAATATAAGGGGGCTTATTTTCGACATATGAATGAAAATCTTTATTTCGGCTTTGAAGATGTCCCAAAAGGGCTTCAGAATGAGTTTTGTGATTTGAAAATGTTCTTAACTAGGTATATGGAAGGGGTTACCATTTTTAAAAGAAAGTTATTTGAAGCAGTTAAAAGGGACTGCCAAAGATTCTAAAAGGATAGGGGTTGGACCTCGTGGCGGAGCCTCCCATTTGGGATCAAATGAAAGTATACGAAACTGCCCGCCTACCCCTTTGTAAAATAACATTAAAACTTACTTCTCCTTTAGGACAAAATGTTGGCTTTGAGGAGGAGTGGGTGGGCAGTTTTGAAACCTGAATTGATCCCAAGCTTTGTTGAGTAGTGCCTCGGGTCAAGTTCCGGTCAAACGGCTCGACAATATCTGTCAAGTCGAGTCGAGAGATGATGGCGAAGATCATACCACGTCAAACGGCAAAATAGAATACTTGTCCTTCTTCGCAGAACTGGGGACACATCTTCAAAGTAATGACTGGAGCGAGCCGATCTATCATCTCTTCCCCCGGTTTCTCGCTCAGTCTTGGCTGTAGTTTTGCAGCTTGATGCTAGCCCTTTTCCAGGCGTTCAGATCGTAAAGCGTGGGCGAAATATTGACGAGGAAAAAAAAAACGAGGGGAAAGTCTCCCCTCGTTTTCCCCACGTACGAATTTACTCGTTCTCCACCATCTGAACGCCTGGAACGGACGCGTCATTCTGGTTTGTGGGACCTAAAAGATGTTTTAAATTCGCGCCAAAATCGGTTTAAAAATAGACGAGCCCGTGAGAACGCCGTGATACCAGAACTTTCAAAAGAAGTTTCTCTCTCCGGGTTATGGGCCCCAGCTGAAAAATTTTGACGCGAAAATAGACCGGTCTTATGACGCGAAAGAGTCTTAGAGTATTCCCGATAATGGGCTCTAGGGAAAAACCTAAAACTTTGTGTTTGTTTATTACCTCCACAGGTTCGTCGCAAGCTTTGTCGTCATCAGCGGGCCAGTTTCCAATCTTTTTCTTGTGGGTCGGAGTGATAATTTGTCATATTCTTCGGATATTTCTACCTAACAGCGCCATGATTTAATATAACGAGGTAGAGAATAGGAAGATGCCACAGGTCTGTCAGTTTTGCGAGCAACAAGGCAAGCGGAGTGTTTAACGAAAGCTGTCTCTGTATGAGATGAGGAAGTGAAATAGCGGACTTGAGGTCTGTGTTTTGTGCGGACAGCTTAAAAAATTGGTCAGGAAAACACGGCATCTTGGACGTGAAGTGTACTGAGCCCTGATCCAGTTTCGGCCACAGGATATGGGGAAGAAAGCGCTCGTGCGGTAAATAAATAAAGAATGCTACTGTACCAAGCCTAGACTTTCAAAAAAGTCCTTGGTCGGATTTCATATGGCGCAGGACCTCTCGCAACTTCGTCGCTCGCGGTCAAAAAAGGCTCGCTCGCTCTCCAAGAGGTCGACCTGTAGCAAGACTATACCAAGCCCTAAGACAAGAGGATTGCTAAGATGATAACAAGATACTCTACAAAACGCGAGAAATAGGTAGTGAAAAGCCGCGTGCGGGTGCCGGCAAAATGACAACGACAAGGTGAAACGGAGAGTACCCAATAGCCATAATGGCTCTTCGAGTAACAAATAATGAGTATACTGAAATAGATGGGGGTGGGAAACGTGCTGCGCCATCTCCCAAGCGCGCAAGTAACGGACGCATAAAATGAGGGGGGCGGGGGGGGGAGGGGGCGGAGACTTTCTAATTTTCCCCTTAATATGCGATTAGGGGGTTTCTTGTGTTAATTTACAAAGAGTAGTTAGGCCACAGAAAAGTAAACCTTCGTGGATTACGGCTAGAACACTGTATAAAGATTCACCACATGCTTTACAACAAGCACAGCATTCTCTCATTGCCCCCTCCCTTCGTATCACTTCACGCAAGGAAATTTCGGGGGCGCGAAAGGCGCGCTTGCTCAAAGAGCTTGCTTGCTTGCGCGCCCGAATTATCGGCGTAGCGTTTTCGTTGCGTTTGACTAGAAAAGAGGCGTGGTCGCAAGGTGCTTTGAGAATTCAAGTGTCAGGAGCAAGAAAAAAACCTTATTGCGCATTTTCTGTCGGTTTTCTTGTTTATTACGAGAAGGAATTCCTCTCATCAGCCAAATTAATGATAAGGAAATCGTACCAACTTCCGCTGCGGATAATTATCAGAAGCCAAAAGATGCGGAAATGCACCTAAAATTACTACCTACGTCACTGCAAATTGTTCAAATATTATTCATGAGTCATACACATGTTTACAAAACGCTTATGCTTTGCTGACTGAACAACTCCTTGATATATTTAGTTTCTTCGATAATACAGTATGGAGAATAAACTATTGATTTTTTACAGTTGTGAGTTGACTCGCCCTACCCTGGGCTTCAGAGGCTTTTAATCCATTATACTGACTTAAACATCCAAAGCTGAATTCTCATTTGTTGTCCCCATAGCACATTTACCATAGGTAGTGGGGAGAAGTTGGTGGTTCAACTTTCCGAGATTAGAGACCTTAAGCAACAACGACGCCGACGGAAGTGAAAATATCACTAATAACAAGAATTTGCTTCCTTTCAAACTTAAGGTCTCGGTAAAGGAAAACGAGGTGCCCACAGAAAAAAATTCTAGTCGCGCGAGTATTTTCGCTACAAGGGCAAGTTATATATCAAATTAAAGCTAAAAGACTAAATTACCTTATAAAAGATTTTATTTTATCGAATTTCAAAAGGCGCTTAAGTTTTTTGCTCTCGAACTCAGAGGTATCGAGTTTACTGCTGAAGCTCCAGCCTTTTCGCGTTGTTAAATATTCACTTCCTTTTTATTGCGTCTGATTGACAGATAAAAGACCTAAAAAAGGGTGTGAGGAAATTTGCATATGTCTCGTATTAGCGGAATTATTGCATTTCAAACTAAAAAGTCGAATCTCGAGCGCGATTTACGCAAAGAAACTGACATAAAATGAGTTACAAAGGGAAATCGGAAAATTCCTCACACCCTTTTTGAGTCTATATCATTATCCATCATATCTGAAAGTTTCAAAGCGATAACTTAAAACCTGTCCCGACTGGAGGTCGGAGAATTTTGATTTTTGCGTCTAAAATAGAGTGAGAGAAAATCAGCTCTAAAGATTTAGCGCGAGGTCCACGCTTGGCTGGTTAGCGCAGAAAAGGCTCATTTTAGAACGGTTAAAAAGCACTTTCTGATTTTCTTTTTCTGCCAAAATAAAATTTAGGACCCACTCATGCCAAAAATCCAAAAAAAACAAAATCGAGCAATGTACTAAAATTTTCATTTACCGAGACCTTAATCGCGTGTATTTGAAACCGCACATTTCGTCAAATGTAGGCGAGTTTTCCTGGAGTTGAATTCTTAACGACTTTGTCCATGTTCAAATAGAGAAAGAACAATTTGTCGTCGCATGTGCACGTCCTCCACAAAACGTCGCATTGGGAGGTTTCACGTCGTAGTGGTGCAGTTAGTCTGCTACAAAGCGTTTTTAGTGTCGTCACGCAACGCTCCTCCCCGTGACGACACTAAAAACGGCTGACTATGGTGCAGTGGACGTCAAAGAAATGTACTAAAAAGCGTGATGCACGTGCAGAGCTGTTGTTTTGCTCATAAAACCATTTTTTTTGACGTTGTCGTTCAGGAGACGTCAAATGCCTGGGAAGGGTGTGGTGGGGGAGGGGAGGGGGTGAGGGATGGTCACGTTTGCATTTACTCTAAGCAATAAGGAACAAAGCCTCTATAAGATATTACCTCTCTTCATGATATCCTCTCTCGACGAAATTAAGCTTCAGCTTTTACAACAACAAAAACTGTGTGATGAGCCCTTCAACTTCCTCCTTAGTAACCAGGTTCGAGTGATGCAGTCTTTGAGTTTTTTTCTGGTATAAGTCAGTTTACCGTTCTTAGGCCTTGATCACCAGTGATCAACAATTCAACGCCCCTGAAAATTGTTCTTGGCCTCCTCTTTTCGTTTCTCCTCCGAAAATTGCACAGTAATTTTGTCACCCTTATCGTTCCGAAAATCTTCTTCGAGGGATGAGGTTGAAAAAGACTAAATAAAGCTGCATTTTCAATCTAGCACGCAGCGTGAATATTTCAAGGGACTAGACTGGTCAAGCTTCTCTTATCCTTTACCACTCTCTGGTGCGAGAAGCATTCAAATCTATTCTGAGAGGACCGGTGCGCTCGTGTTGGAGGATAGAGGTCCTCTCTAAAGAGCAATTTTCGCGCGTGCGGGAAGTGGAATGCAAATTTCGTGATGTTGACTTTTCAAACATTTCGCATTCCTTTCTCGTCAACGAGATGCTCAAGACTGGGAGGTCACTTTTGTTTCTTAAGAAAACACAAGCAAAGAAAACACAGCGAATCCTAAATAACATTGTTTGGTTTCCGCTTGTTCAGGAAGCAAGATCAAGTTTGTTGTACTATCATGACATGATCAAGACCTCCAAGCACGGCTGAGCTCGATTTTAAATCTGCAAGGTTGCCCACTCGGTTCAAGTGTGAATTTGAAGCAAAAAGGCACGTTCTAGCGTTTTGCCCTTACACGTGTACACGGGACTGGAAATCCTACGCAGCCCCTCCCGCCCGGAAGGTGTATCCTAGCCCTGAAACACATTTTATTGACAAGGGTATGATGAGGGAGGTTTGGGATTCGAAGCTTGAGGTCGCGGCAATGTTTTTGGGTTGGGTTTTCGGTATTTTCATTGAAAACATCAATTTTTTGGTTTCGATGTCTGTTTCGGTTTGCAGTTTTACGTTTTTAGTACTTGATTTTCAGTATTCGCCAAAATTAAAAAGCGGTCAATTTTCGGAAATTAGTCATTTTTTGAACCAGTTTTGGTTTCTTTGTAGACCGCACATCCCCGGCCTTTTGAACGGCACATATCTTTAGAAACGTTTCACTTTTTTTATACAAATGGTTTCCCCGTTCTAGAGATACACCAATACTTCTTTAGATGTTTATTTCTGTGGCTGACGAGTGTGAAGCGTCACAAATGAATTTATGGATTCTCCGTCACCGTTTCTATTTGACCACGGGAGCTAAACGGGTGGTCCACCGCCCATTAACAAATTCCACACCTACGATTTGCGTCACTGCAGATGACAAATCGTGTGAGTCTCCATTTCCGCCATTCGCCAGGCTGAGACCAGTCTTCGTTGATCTTCATTTTCCGAGCAGCGGCTTGTAATGGAATCTATCGGAATAGAAAAGAAAAAGTGTAGCCTCGTGTTCAACCCTATACTGATTTTCTGAGATCTTTGAGTGCGTGTATGAAAATAAAAACCGCAAGGATATATTATTGTCCGTAAACTGGGGAAAAACATAAAAAGGTCTGTGGACAGGCTAAGGCCGTTGCGCCATTCTATTTTAAGGAGTTTGCTTCCGGGAAAGAAAAATTAGGGGTTCTCGGATTATGACAAAGCTTCAAGAGCTTCTAGAGCTTCAAGCACAGGATGAGACTCACTTTAGCATAATCTGTTGTTGTCTGTACTACTGCCCGTGTGCTGTGTCGCCTGGTGCCGCTTTAACTTGACGCTAATTTTTTCCTGAGCTAAACTTGGCAACTCTTAAAAACTTTGGATCTGAACCCCTTTATTCAGAGAGGATGCTGGCAGGCACTGATCATTGGCATACATCGAAGTCATGGTTACTTCAGTTCCTGTCTAGCACATTTACATCGCTTTAGCCAGGCATCAAAGACTGAGGTATACGTAGCAAATAAACATGACCGCCAACGAATGTCGCAGAACGTAGGAAGCCAAAAAGCTTAAAATAACCTGCAAAGCGGATACGAAAGAGAAAAGTGTCATTAACATTTTTGTCTGTCCATTTTAGGAGCAAACAGCACCAGCCAAGCATAATTTGAAGACGAATATTTTAGTTACAACCTGGGTTACAAGCTTGATCCGACAGACCCCAGCACTGGCCCCTGACTACTCGGTGGGCTACTCGGGAAGTTTAGAGGCACGCGAATATTAAGGCACTCCCGCTTAACTTTACGAAACGCTTGCAAAAAATTTCTAGGCGTATTTTTAAAAAAACATCTACAGTCCAGCACCTTGAAAAGTATTCAATAAAATGTTTATTCTCAACATACTCTTTGAACCCGATAATTAGTCATGTTTTTGCAGCATTTTGAATTTTGACATCTCCTTTTTTCGGGTTAAATATTTGCATTCCCTTAGCCCACCACGAGAGCTAAGCACATAAAATGAATTGAACGTCTTAAGAGAAGGGTAATTATTTCACGATTGTAAATGTTAACTTTCACATGTTAGTTTGTCATTTGTGGGCGCGATTACAAATGACGCGGGAAACGTTTGAAGCGGTCCTTTGTCAAACCTTTTCAAAATTTGACAGGCATCAAACAGAAAACCATTGTGTCATCGTTTTAAACATAAACACATGGCAAGCGCGTAATGCAAGACATTTGCGGTGTTGAGTTACAAGACTCACTTCAGTTTGCTTTCGTATTTCTTCGGTGCCACTTAGTTACTGAAGTCATCCTTGTAACTCTTAAAGATTTGAGGCAGTTTGTTACATTTATTCCGCTGTGTGAAGAAACATTACAGGTTTCTACGGGGAAGGAACAATCATGGGTCCTCCAGTTTTGTTGGTAGCAGCTTTTGTGGCGTTTCTTTGCGGGCATCAAGCGAGTAAGTTCTTGCATTTTTGACATCGAATTGTTTCTGCTTGTGCGATCGAAACGTCAAAGAAGTCCCCAAATATCATGTAACTTTTTAGGTTATCTCAAACCACTCTAGATTGTTTTTAAGATTTAAAAATGGAGCATATAAGCTTGGAAGGCTTTGAGAAGTGAGTACAGGGCGGGATATACTGTCTTGACTGGATTAGTATGTTTAGTTAAAAGAATTTCAATGACATATTGACTCGACAAAGATCTCGATTTTATTACAAGCCATTTTAGTTGTTTTATCAAATTATTAGGAATCTATATTTTGGCAATTAGCAGCAGTTTCTTCGCCGTAGTTAAATTTGTCCGTGAACGCCCTTTAGTCATGGCGCGCGCGGGGAAAAAAATTAAAATGGTGTGTTTTTGAAATGAATGTTTTGAATGGAAACAACTCGAAGCTATTTCCTCAAACAAGACTCCACAGAAGAGCGTACAAATCTCTCTTCATTGATAATCGCAATCCTTGTGGAGATTTGATTCATAACGCAAAAAATTAGCAAGGAAATCAAGGTAATCCGCAAACAAGAGTACTGAAAGTGCTTTTGGCGTTCACTTGTTTCTTTCTAGTCTTACGTTTCTGGTGCTTTAAGACTGGATTTTACTTAAATATTTTCTGTAGCCTTGAGAAATTTTGGGTCATTCTTTGTAACAACCTAAAAATGCGCAAATTTTCTACCAATCTCACGAGAAATGTGTAACAGGAAACATTGTCATGCTCAAAATATTCAACACCAAATATTGAAATTTTTTGGGCTTTGTCATTGTTAGATCCGTGTGTTCACAATGGTGAGATCGAATTTGGGATATTTCGTTTGTTTTTAGTGGCTGTGAGCCATACGATGAGTAAATTATAATCTGGAAAGGGTATTTCTCATCAAGCATTCAAGTCTCAACCTGGCTCGCGCGATAAGTTTAAAGTAGCAACTACAAATTATGTTGTGTTTTCGAAACCGCAACCCGAGGCTTGATGTTCCTATTTGAACTGAAAATAAGCCATCTTAAAACCAAAAATGAAAGAAATGCTTACACTTTTCTTATCGATAGTCACTTCCTTTTCGGCTGACGAAATGATTTACTCAATAATTATTTTAGTCAACCGAACAGGTAACACTGAACGATTTACATTATATAAAAGCTTGCCGTTTTAACATTAGTATTTTATCTTTGATTATTTACTTTTTAATTTACTTCATTTTGGGGCTTCTTCATTTAAATATTTACTTTCGGGGCTTTTAGTTTTTCAAAAACTACGTGACCAAGAAAACAAAACTTGTTTTCCTTTTCCTTGGAGCTAATTGCTCATGTCTCTCATAACCGGAATATTTTGTTTCCAAAACAAATTGTTAATGTAACCCTCTCGCTCTTCAAAGAGGCTAAGAAGAAAAAGAAAACACAAGAAATATCTTACTTTTTTAAATGAAGTCTGCAACAGTTTCACTGTAATGGTTTAAACACCTCAAGATTTCATCCACGGATTCAAAACTCAAAAGTAACAATTCGTTTCACCACAACTCGTTCTTGGAAGGGTTACGTCTCGAAAGTTTTATAACGTCAGTTTTCAGGTCTCTATATCTTTTCTTGTAACTGAGGAAAATATTGTTTAGTTTTCTCGTGATCGTGCACCGCCATTATCAGTCACAGATAAGCTGCAATGATCTGCCACGTTTGGCTTTGAGGAAATAGTTAATTCATGATTAATCGTTTTAAGCTTCTCCACCCAAAGTTCAATTATTTACTTGTGCATAATTGCACGAAGTAGACTTCTGTAAGTCACGTTCACAAATAGTTTCTTTCGATTTGTTGTCATCCCACGATTTTTGTTAATGATTAGCTTTCCAGTGAAATTCGACAAGTTGTTTACGATTCACCCATTTCAGTCCGGAATTTAGAGAATTTAGCATACAGCTATGAAAAATTCAACGTTAAGGCTTTGTAGTAGATAAAATTGTGTCATTGTTGATAGGGGTTATACGGGGATAATGTAAGTGAGAGATGGTTCTGTTCTTTCAGATAAAATTAATATTTAGGTAGCTGGATTTATACATGGGACCTTTTGTTTAATTTTCACTTAGTTTTGGAGCATAAATACTTTCCACACAGTCAGTCGTTCCATAAAGGAGAAGTAGCGAAGCATACTTTGTGGGGTTTATTGCGAACAGAAACAATTTAAAGTCCTTTTATTACCTCTGTTTTAAAATATTACAAACTCACACCCAACTTTCTTGCCATAATTAAACGCCTTTAAATAATGCTGGGCAATGTTGAGTGAATTGACGACTGAGTAAAACTCCAGGCAATTTGAATAAAAAAAGGATGTCAATAATGTATCCAAGTATAATGCACATCCATGGTCCTCAAGTAAATTTTTGTTGTTCTTGAATTGGAGTCTCGTAATAAAAGAGTACCCATTATTCTAGAATGATTTTACTAAAGTTTTTATTTCTTTTGAGGGTTTAGACATGCCTTGTTGTGGTATGTTTTGTTGCTCTCGGCTTCTTTACTATGGTAGTTGCAATCCAACATGTACAATCTTGTTTGTTACCATTGCATCCACTTCAAGGCCATGATTTTCTGTTAAAGGGCAGGTTCACAGTTAAGCGCATGCTCATTGTGGCATGATCATATTGCTTGCATAGACGATACAGCATGTCCCAGCAGAAAAACAGCATTTTAATAAATGAACATGTACTAAACCGTGAACCTGTCATTTTCTGTCTGAATATTTTGCAAATCTGGGCCGAGTTGTTCGAAAGTTGGAGAACACTATCCACCAGATTAATCTCTATCCAAGAGACAACATGGTTGAAATTTCCTAACAGTTTTTGAGGGCTGTGCTTTAGCAGAACCCAGTGGTCCCTGGTGTCTAACTTTTGCCCTTGGGCAACTAGAAAATCGTAGTTTTTTTCATACAAATCATATGCTGGCACGTACCCTGGATTTTGCAGTTTCATAGCGTTGGGCCTCCTTCAATTTTCCTCGGAACACAGCCTTGTATTTGCTGGGAAATGATTTATCCAGTGTATAGCACTATCTAATGTTTGAACAACCCGGGCCAGAAGTTTTTGGTAAAATTAATGTTTTTTCTTTGGTGTTTAAGGGGCAGACTTAAGTGTCTCGCCACCGTCTCTGCGTCCCAGTCTTGGAGAAACAACATCATCTATATGTACGGTCAGTGGAGGGGAGACGTTTCAAGGCTGGTTCAAAGGCAACAATCGCATCTCTGACTCGACGTCTGCTTCAGTACATGTTACATCAAATGGAAACCAACATACTCTGAATTTAGTTGGTGTGAAGGTGAATTATGGTGGCGAGTATGAATGTCGTGGTAGCTTCAATCAGCCAGCTAAGCTGACAGTAGAAATTGGTGGTAAGTACTGCTGAGTATGTTTCCATACATAGAGGATATTACATTGCCATGCGGAGATACGAAATTGCTTTATAAGTCTATGAATGATGGGTGTACCATAGTCAGGGCAGATGTCACCAAGATTTCTCATTGCTGAGTTATATGCAGTTAGTAGGTGGAGATAGTTCTTTTACAATGGGGAATATATAATCATCCCCAGGCAAGGAATAAGCTCTCTCACCTCTGACATCTGCAGCTCATTCCTAGTTAGTCAATAACACTTAAAGAATGTTACGTAACATTCTTTAAGTGTTATTGACTAACTATGAATGAGCTGCAGATGTCAGAGGTGAGAGAGCTTATCCCTTACCTGGGGATGATTATATACTCCACTTTTTAGAGATGTTATACTACTACATGAGAAATTTCTGTAATTTGATTGGCTTAGAGCAGTGGTATTTCAGCTTAATTTGAAATACCTACACAGGGCTCAAAGTTAGCAACTAACTGGTCGCATATGCAACTTGATTTTTGGTTGTGTGCCTAAAAATTCATGTGTAATCACACCTGTGCGCCGTAAAACCCAAAGCACAGTGCGACTGACTTCCAACTATACCTACCAACTCGAACTAGAAAGACGGTGTATGTTTAATTGGTCTTTTCTCCCAATGGATTCTACGAACTCGAATGTTCTTTTTCGTTTTGATGTCTTACTCCATCCCAGACTCTTCTGTTTTGTAATAAACACTGCTGACACATGCAAATATATGCGCTACGAACGAATCACATACTTTTTGCGCAATGGACGATCATGTCGAACGTTCAGTTTTAACGTCAATCAAAACAAAAACAGTGCAGATTAAGAGCCTTTTTTTCCAGGTAAGAAAGTTTTCTAAGTCGTATTCCAGGTACATGTAAGTCATTGCGCATTTAACAAATTCATTAAAGATTAATTTTCATTCTTGTTCGACACACTCATTGTTGTCAGTTTTGAATTGTTTTTCAAGTGTAAGTTTTCTTTAGTAACAACTGTACTGTCAAAAAGAGAAATTAGTATTAAAAATCACAACGGTATTACTGCGTAGCAAATCAGCTGTGTTTTATCAATCACAGGACTGAAGTAAAAGTAACAAACTGAAGATGACAAATAAACATGGCACTGTTAAGCTTTTTACTTTTTCGTTTGAAATAGATGCTCCCAACATTATAAGCTGTGCTCCCAAAATTTTCAGCTGTGCGCCTAAAATTTCGGCAGTACGCCTAAAAATTTTACATCTGGTAGCACAAGTGCTCCCAGGCCAAACTGAAATTTAAACTTTGAGCCCTGCTACATGTGAAAATTACAATCCTTTTGCGGGTAAGTAGTACAAACAAATAATAGCATGATTTGTACGTGATATTTGGCATAAATACCACTAGTGATATCTCAAAATTGTCTCAAATTTCACGTGTAACAATTTCAAAATATCACTCGTGATACTTCTGCCAAATATCACTACAAATCATGCTATTACCTATACTAATTTGATGGATGATATATAGTGAGGTTTTTCAACACGCACTATTGCATGTTTTCTTTCTTTCCTTTTTTGTGTGTGATGTAATAAGTTACTGTAATAAAGAAAGAAAGAAAGAAAGAAAGAATAACAGGAATCAATTCAACTATGTCTGATTTAGGAAAGCAGGACTGTTACTAACCCATTAAGCCCTAAGATCCACAAACAAATTCTCCAGACTGATCTCCATACATTTCTTTTACAAATAGTTGAGGGAATTTGGTTTAAAATCCAAACGTTCTCCCTTTGGTAATCAATCCAGTTGTCTAACTTGTCCAGTTAGCGGTACTTGTTTGGATCACATCTATTCAAATCATCCTCAGCGAATATTGAATACTCTCAACTGTGGCCTCTCTGATCATGTACCTAATTTTGCTGTATGCAAATATAACAACGAGCGCGCATCTTGTGGCATGCAGAAAAATCAGTATATTAGATCTCGTGACATGAAGCAATTCGACGAGAACTGATTCAAAGAAACACTGAGTCAGGCCATTGGGATACAGTATTCGTATTGATGAGATTGATGATATGCTGGACTCTTGGGAGTCACTTTTCAATAGCATACTTGATGAAAATTGCCCGTGGCGTGAAAAGCGTGTAAAGCGCGCTGTCCAAGCTCCTTGGATTACTAGCTCTGTCTTGAAACAGCTACACCTGAGAGATAATTGCCTAAAAACCGCAAGGCGTTCCAATAATGCTGATGATTGGTCTAATTACAGAGCGGAAAGAAATAAAGCAGTTGCGATGATTAGGAGCGCAAAACGAAAATTTTTCTGCAATGCCTTCGAGGAAAATAAAGGCAATTCAAGAGGAATATGGAAGACAATAAGAACACTGACTGGCTCAGGAGAGAACAGATGCGATATTAACAGTATTAGTATCGGGGAAGCTGTTATAGATGACAAAAAGCTAATGGCGCAACATCTTGACGCTCATTTTTCCAGTATAGCAGATAGGTTAAGATCTACATTACTGCAAGTTCCATCAGACCCCTCAAAGCTGCAAGACTTTGTCAGATCCAGAAAAAGTCCTGATGCATCTTATGTCATTCCATCCATTGTTGCGAGATTGATTAACTTTTCCTTTTCCAGTGGATCATTTCCAAGTCGTTGGAAAACAGCTCTCCTCTGTACAAGAATGGTGACTCACGTGATGTTCAGAATTTTCGATCAATATCTGTGCTACCTGTCCTTTCTAAAGTTATCGAGAGACATGTGCATGACTCCTTATACAGTTATCTAACTGAAAACAATCTGATTTATCCTCGCCAGTCTGGTTTTCGGAAGAATCACAGTACAGACACCGCTCTCATACAGATAGTTGACGAATTGCTCTTCAATTTAGATAAGAGTAGAGTTAGTGGCATGGTGCTAGTAGACTGCTGTAAAGCCTTCGACATGGTAGATCATGGTCTTCTTCTGGATAAGCTGAAGTTACCTGGTATTGCTGGCGAAACAATGAAGTGGTTCCAGTCTTATTTGGCGGACAGACACCAGCTTGTCTATTTTGGTGGTTGCGTCTCAGACGTGGCGCTTATGAAACATGGGGTTCCTCAGGGCAGTATACTCGGCTCTTTGTTTTTCACAGTTTTTATTATTGACCTGCCACTTCATGTCAGCTCCTCTGAAATCGATCTTTATGCAGACGATACTGCAATCACTTTGTCAGCAGATTGTGGCAGCATGGAAAGACTGCAGGAATCTCTTAATACATCTGTATCAGAAGTTGTTAACTGGGCATTGGCCAACAGGCTTCCACTCAATGAAAAAAAGACCAAGGTCCTCACCGTGAAGGGAAAGCGACTCTCGACCAAAATAAACAATTAACTAACGTTATGAATGTTAAGCTACTAGGTCTTGAGATTGATGATGAGCTATCTTTCTCTGAGCATATTACGACTGTTTGTAAGAAAGTTTCACATCATATCGGCTTGTTAAAGAAAATTATGAATTATCTGCCCCTTAAACAAAGATTACTTTATTACAATTCTTTGATCAGGCCAGTGATTAATTATGCATGTGTCCTCTGGACTAATTGTGATAAGGAAAGCCTTGGGCGGGTCCTGAAGCTCCAAAAACGAGCAGCTAGAGTACTCTGAATGCCCCCCTCTAGCACCATCAGTTCCCTTGTTTAATCAGCTGAAATGGTTGCCTTTTTATAAAGACGTTTTAATATCTAAATGTATCATTGCTTATAAGTGATTACAAAGTGACGTCCCTGTTTATTTAAACAATCTACTTAAATTAAACAGTAACATCCACAGTAGACAAACCAGGTACTGTAATTTTAACCTAATCTCTCCAACAGAAAGGGATAAACAGAACGAGGCGTAATCTTTTTGTCGGAGCTACTTTGCCTTTCAAACAGAAGGAAACCGGCAGAACTTTTAATTGTGCATTGAGAACAAACAGTTAAGATTAAGCATGGAAACCTCATATCCTCACCGTCATTTATGTTTTATCATATCCTCACCGTTTTTACTAAAAAAAGCTGATCTTTGCCTGTCATTTTGCGCAAAGGGAAAGATTTAAAATAAAAAGGCCCGCAAAATCAGTTCTATAATAAACACAATACCACATGACTCTTTAAAAAAAGCATTGTGGAATGAATTTTTTAAACAACGGCAGAATCTTGATTTTTCTATTTAAGTTACTTGATAAATTGTGAGATGATTATAATGCTATATTTTATCTTTTAAATAATTTAGGAGACTCTATAGTATCTGTATTCTTTGGTTTTTACCTTAATTTTTATAGCTTAGTATACTCATTTATTACTGTATTATTTATTTATTTATTATTTAGAGGGTCACAAGTTTATTAGCCCCGGCTATTTCGTGCTAACCCTCATAAAAATTAATAAAGCCTTTACTTACTTACTTACTTACAATGTAGTAATTCTCATAACCTTTACTCTTGATGATCTGCTGATGTTTTTAGGAGAAAATTGATGTTGGTCACTGTTGGGACCTAAAGGGTTAAGTTCCAGATGGTACTCTGGATTTCAAGTGACAGGAATGATTGAAGGATTTTTTTGGGCCTGAAATCTTCGATTGTGGGATTTTTGTGGGTAGAAAATTTTGGCAGGTATTTTTCTCTGTGGCTTGATTTAAATAGGGATTTTTCTGGAGCATTTAAAATAACCTGAAGATTCGTGATAGTGTCCGCGTATCCTGGCCAAGTAGTTCTGTGAATAAACTACAACCAGACTTGTTTTGAAAAACTTTATTTTCGTGTTATATCATTATTTTAATGCCTTCTGGAAATTTTTAAGGCTCGGAAACTAGGCGTGGGATTTTTTGGTGGTTAATTTTTGGTCCAGGGATTTTTTTGGGTTTCTATTTTTTCCTCCATTTGATCATGTCACTTGAAATCCGGATTACCCCCCTGGACATTAAATTTTAAAGCAGCTGTAAAAAAAAAAGAAAAGAACAAAATTCACCGGTAACATCTCTTAAAAATTGTACAGTGTCATTCTTAGTTTCCACTGTCATCACCTGTAACATCAAATGTGCTCATTTCATTTCATTTCTTTTTTCAGTTTTAAAATGTCATTTGCTCACTGCCCACAAATAGCAAAGCGTAGTCTAGGTGGGCAGTGTCTATACAAAACAAAATACGCACTCCAAATCGTATTTTAAAAAATTAACAAGTCAACAAAAGTAACCATATTTATTCGGCTGTAAGCTGATCTTGGCTATAAGCCAAGACCCTAAACTTTAAACTTGTAGAATCAGCACAACCAAGAATGAAAGATAAATCCAAAACACCTGGCTATAAGCCGAGACCATTCGTTACGAGGCTTTTAACTCTTGTAAAGCTTAACAATTTCCACAAAAATGTGATCTTCTCTAGGAAAACATACAATAATCGTCGTTTGGGTTTTTTGCTGCTATCAACCTTATGCTTGAAATGATCGCATAAATTGCCTTCAATCAAAACAAACTACATCAGTTAGCATTGCATTCGTCCGTGCTTAGTAATCAGGCAAATGTTTCGAAGCACAAGTTTGACCAAACATGGCAGATTGTTTACACATTCCTTGACATCTTTCATTTGTTTTACACCTTACCTGGTTGTAAAAGGCTTACGAATGTGAGATTTTAGTTGAGACCTGTTTTTGTCAGATATTTTGACAATCTGGGACCGAATTTTTGTGCTAATAGCTAACTTAACATTCAGATTTGTAGTTACCCGATCGATTTGATCTTTTGCCAGTGCTATTTTCTCGGCTTATAAGTGAATACAGGACCCATTTAGTAGAGTTTCAATGTACTGAAATAAAATTTAAAGCAAAGACTCTTTGCTTTAAGCTGAGACCCGCTCTTGGGCTCAAATTTCACTGAACTTTAGCTTTAATTTGTGTAAAAATTGCTTGGCTTATAGCCGAATAAATACGGTAGTTAAGCTTATATAAGTTGCACAAAAGGTAAAGAACTTCTTTAAGGTCTGTATGTTGTCTCTACCCATATTTCGTTCAAATTTGAAGTATTCCTGCTGAGCTCAGAACTGCATGACCAGCATGGTCCAGCACGGACACACATTCACTTAGCTCAGCTGTAACAGATTTGTTAGGGAGGTGTCCATTCCATTATTAACAGAGTATGAACTGTATAATATTGTTTCCTTACAATTGCAGCTGATGTTTCAAAAGTGAAAGCACTCCAGTTCATTAAAATTGGTACAACAGGCAAGATTGTTTTAGGCGTGAGTGGCTATCCCAAACCTACAATTGAATGGAAGAAGGGAAGTAAAGTTCTCCAACCAAGCAGTGACTCACACTACACCTTACAAACAGATGGCTCTCTGAGTGTCATAAATGTGAAACCAGAAGATCAAGGAAATTACACTTATGAAATCAAGCAACCTGGTTATACGAAGAACGGTGTAATTGAAGCCTACGCTGTGGGTAAGTAGCTTCAACTCAGGAGCATAGCGTTCATATATGCATTAACACCAGTGCATACAGCTAAAATCCTAAAAAAAAATTCCTGATGGCATTTTTCTCATTAAATCGAGATGACTGGTAAATTTTTCGCATTATCGTGATTGTCAAGTTGCTTGGTAAATACAACAAGTAAGCGGGGCATCAAAAAGCTAGGGATTTCTTTTGCTTTTATTTTTCTTCTTTTTTCCAATAAAAGCAGCCAGGGCCACACTCATAGTACAAGTATCTAGGGGAAACTCTAGCCCCCAGCATTTAATGACATCCCTGCATTATAATGGTGTCTTTGTGTTAGTATTTCCTTTATGCTTTTATTATTCCATAACTGTCGAGAGATTGAGCTCTCTTGCAAATCTGCACATAAGCACAAGGATGATGATATCAGTGGCGTTGTAACAGAGTTTGCCTATCTGAAGACATCAGATACACTGACACAGACACTTCTTGCGTTTTGCTTGTAGCCTCCTTGATGGCGTCACTGTGTCACCATTTTTTTTTACATAAACACTGTGCCTTACCAATAACATGAGAGATTTTATTTACTCAAAAAGAAAAAGACAGGAAATGGCATTTTCAAGACCGTAAATTTAAACGTCTTCTGTGGCATTATACCCCCAGATCCCCTAATCTGGAACATCTTTGCAGCATGCAAAGAAAGTCGTGTCCAATAGCCCAGGGCCAGTGGATTTTGCTTTCGGGCTAGTGATTTTTGTTCTTAACTTGCCTTTGCCTGACAGGCAAGTGTTTTTTTGGGGGGGAAATTCAAATTACTGAAGGATTGTAATCAATCCTGCTAATCAAAAAGGGTTTTGGGACTAGTTGAAATGACTTTTGGGCTAGTACATGCTAATTACAGCTTGCCCGAATGGCAGGCTGTAAAACTGACTTTCTTTGCACCCTGCCTTTGCCATTTGAACATTTCACAGGGAAAAAAAAGGGGCTGATTATGAGTCAAGAAAATACCCTGTACCACCCCTTGCCCAAGGTCCTGACTGGTACAGCTCCTTCCTAAGTGTAGCAGAGGATTGGGTCCCTCAGTAAACAGTACAGTCGACTCCCAATAACTCGAACCCTTGCTAACTCAAATCTCATGCTAACTCGAACTAAAATCGATTTCCCCTGGATTTCCATCATACGTGCTCTGTAATTTTACCCTAGGTAACTCGAACCCTCGATAAATTGAACTCCCGCTAACTCGAACCAATTTTCGTTTCCCCTCAGGTCATTTTCTATATAATTTTACCCTTGATAACTCGAACCATGTTTTGAGCCCTTAAAAATTTTTGAATTTTGGATTTCCTATTGACGTGTTGTAGGAGTATAGTTTACTAGTGGAGGCTGATGTTGATTGTCACAAGCTAACGTGAAGCACCTTTTCTTCTCAAAACAATGAAATGCATGCTCTATTTAGGCTGTGTTTTGTTACGTTACGTTACGTTAATCTAGAAGTATCTTTTAATTTTCATTTGACATTTCTACAATTAAATGTGATTAAAATGTTCACTGTGCAGTAAAAACCAGGAAAAAACTGTTTTTTACCGTACTCTCGGCTATTTTCTTCGAACTCTCGATAACTCGAACTCCCGATAACTCGAACCTTTTGTCAATTTCCCTTGAAGGTTCGAGTTATCGGGAGTCGACTGTAGTCCTCTTTTATAGCTCTTTGGCTCTGAATATTATCAGACAGGTTTTCTTACATGTATTTAACAGATTTCCCAATGTGCCTCCTTAATTGACCAGTCTATGTAGTAAATGGCTCGCAACTCACAAATATTTCTTGATTCACACTAACAAAGGGTTAGCTTCATCTCCTCACTGAGATAACGTTCAACTCAGTTGATAAAACCAAATCTGTGTGGTTCTCAGCGATTCCTTCACTGAAGCAACACCACAGTTTCTCTAGAAACCAACCTCTTTCTTGAGAATGGCAATTTTTCATTCAGTGGCACAGACAGTTTGGAAAAAAAGAAACTGTGTATATACCCCAAATAGGGTGATTCCATGTTGTGGACATTACGTTCAGATACTAAAATTAATATTTTAAACCCCAATTTAGATGTCAAAATGTTCATTAAAGGTGTTCAAACATATCTAGAAAGTAAAATTAGTGTTCCCTTTGTACCTAATAAAAAGATGCTTTGGTTAGCTCTTAAGACCTTGAAGGTATGAGCTGAAGAAAGTGTGTTGCGGACATTACAGTTTAAACAACCACTTTTTAAAGTAACTTTCTTTAAACAGATTTTCCTGTGAATTTTTAACCTTGAGCAGAAAATAATATTGTGCCTTCAAAACATAACAATAACTAGATTTTTCAACTGTCAAAGAAAAATTCCATGCAACCTTGTTCCAGTGATTCTACAAACAAAATTGTTGCGGACATTACATCTTTGGGAACACATTTTCTAGTGGATTTCATGCCTTCGCACATTAAGCACATGGACAAGATGCACAAGATCTCAGTAATTTCAAACAGCCCATTGTTTCAGCTTTCTGTTGGTTGAGTTTCATTGTGCAAAATTTTATTTTAAAAATTTCATTGTCTCGCATGGAATTGCCCAATAGGAGCTGACCTATGACATTCTGTTTACTACAGTATAACCTTGATTTAACAAAGGGCTAGGGGACTGGCAATTGTTTTTTCGCTATATCAAGGTACTTTTCCGTATATTTTACTATTACTGGGGCAAAGAAAGTTGTTCGTTATACCAAGGAGTTCGTTATATAGAGATTCATTATATTGAGGTTCCACTGTAGTCCAGATGCTCTACTGCTAAGCTGCAAGAGTTTTGTGGGAGCGAAGGCCACTAAACTAGGCTCTTGTTCTTGCTAGGACTAAAATGTACATATCTACTTATAAATATTCACACATTTTGTGCTTTTTTTTGTAGAATTTCCAAAGATCACACCCTTTCCTTCTCCTCGGAAGTACCTGACTGAAGGCTACTCTGTATCATTTGTGTGCAAGGCAAAAGGCATTCCTGCACCAAAATATACCTGGTATTTCCAAGGCAACCAAATCAATACAGTAGGAAATAATTTAATCAAGGATGGCAACCTGACAATCACAAAAGTAACATCAAGTTCAAAAGGCCAATACAGGTGCAAAGCCTACAATGAGATTAAGAAACCTGGAAAGACAGCTGTTGAGATTGGAGAAGATACAAAAACTGTGGAAATTGTTGATGTTTATGGTAAGGACAATATTAGCACTATAGTTGTTGTGCAAATGAAATGAAACTCATTTTCTTGCAAAATGGCTGTTAAAGTCGTCTGGTGTGAAAACAAGAATCTGAAGAAAGAGAATCACTGACTTTTCCTAGTTGTTTCTGGATAAGTGAAATGCATCTCAGTTTACAGTGTCCTGTATTTATGTTAGATGCTGTTAACGTCTGAGACGTTGAAGTTGTATCTTAACAGAAGGTGTTAATATTGTCAGACATTAAATGTTTGCCCAAGTTGTTAAAGAAAATAGGAGAAATAAGTTAACTCTTCTGCTGTCGTTTTTAAGTGAAACAAAGGAAATAAAATACAAACCAGGCACATATATATTTAAAAGTGCAGTCATGTGTTTGGGAAAAATAGGAAGCTTCAGCAGTGATAAAGGTCAATAAAAGCAAATTTACATTTGTACATTTTCCAGACTTTGTTGCTTTTTTCCAAAATAATTGCCAAATATTATGTCAAAGGCATAATGTTAATTTTCCTGGGGTTGAATTCTTGGGAACAGCACCCATGTCAGAAAGAGAAAGTAAACGTCATGTCATGTGTTTATGTCCTCCATAAAATGGTACACAGGGAACTTTCATGTTGTGGTCATGCAGAAAAATAATACAAGAATACCACACTTGCAAAATTGTTGTTTTGCTTTGTAAGTCTACTGTTTTTTGATGTTCTTGTCAATGTTTGGCTTTCCTTGTCAGTGGCACCGAAGATCACTTCTGATGGTACTGATAAAATCCTAGCAAAAGGGAAAAAATTTACTTTGGAGTGCGAGGCCACAGGTAGTCCGACACCAACCGTAGTCTGGAAAAGAAATGGAGAAATTGACCCTCGCCAAAAGGTAATTCTTATGTCTTTTATGTGCTATGTATATTAACAGGCAGCTTATCCATGCTTTCTCAAGAGTCATTGTGGCCAAGAAGTTAAGGCCTAAAATTTGACAGGTTCAGGTCTCAAAAAGTTAGAAACACCATGTACAGCAAAGTGAGTTGTGTATTGTCAGTTGATGGCCTTGCATTGATCCAGTGTTTTTCCTAAATTTTAGTTCAGCAGGTAAGGGCAGTAAGGTAAAAAATATGTACCACAGAGGGGTACTTTTCCAGGGGCAGGGGGTAGTGGAGTGCCGGACATGGCCCTGCTATTAAGAGCAAATTTAGGAGCTACAAGTACTTCTTAACTTTTAGCAAACCTTCAGGCCATTGCAGGCAGTAAGAAGTTTTGCTTCAGGGAGTAAATTTTACCAGTTACGGTCTGATAAGGAGAACTGTGAGATCTAATAGACAGGTAAAGTATTTGTTTATGTTACTGGCCGTGGTTTAGTTAAGCTATGGTGTTATTGGCTGTGGAGATTCTAAACACAAGCACAGCATTTACATTTTAGCCTGAAAAAACAGCCAACATTTTGCCACACCACCAGCAGTTTCCCAGCAAAATGACGTCTGAGAAAGGAGTGCAGAAATTCCATACTGATGACGCGTCACCTCCTATCCTGCGTAGCTCAAGTGGAACTGTTTTTTTTTTGTGTGTGCAAAAGTTTTGGCATAGTTGCCAATCTCGCACTTTGCCAGATAACTTGCCTTTTTTTTAATGCCGTCGACTTTGAGCGCTTTGTCAAAACCATTTATAGCAGCCAATCAGAGTTAGGGTCTAATGTGAAATCTACATGTTTCAATAACCCGCATGTGTGTAATCACAAAAAATAGAATTTGTTTTGCTGTGTGCAGAAGCCAGAAACAGGGACGACCAGCAAGTAAAGTTCAAAATGAAATGTGCATGTACTCTGAAAGGAAAATGAAATTGCGGGGATTTTCACAAGACACTGTATGTTTCAATGCTGACAGTAAAGAAACGACATCGGATTTGTTGTTAAAATTGAAGCCATATTTTCACTTGATAGTTCACAGGGCTCGACACTAACACCTACCCGTTCACCACTGGAAAGTAATATTTCTGAGTGGAAAGTAAAAAAAGCAAATGAACCGAAAATACTTGCCCGATCGGGCAACTACTTCTAGACAATGCGGGAAAGTATTTTTTTTAAACAGCCAAATAAAAAAGAAAAGAAAACGAATGTGTTTAGTTATTACAAGTGAGCTTCCTTGCTAAACGTCTAAGTTTCGCATTTTTCTATCTCCGCCATCTTGGAATCGTCAGTGACAGATCGAGAAACTCTGGGTACGAAATAGATGATGCAAACGACCGTGCTCGCCATTTTCCCTTTCACATGTGGACTAGTAAATAAAACATGAGTGTTTTAAGCGCGCTGGTGAGGTTAACAAAGGAAACTCCGAAAAGATTGATGAAGTTGACCAAGAAAGCAACAAAGGAGGAGAACAGACTGAAAATCAAACAGCTGGAGCATATTCGAAGCAAGCGACGCCATGAGACAAATACGAAGAAAAGAGGAAGATGGTCGGCCGTGGGTTTAGAAAAGAATGGCTTAAGGAGTTTCCATGGCTGCAATACAAGGAAGAACAGAGTCTTAATTTTGTTATGTTTCTATTATGGATAGTGGAAAATATGTTTCCTTCATTTTTGGAAAGTAAAATTTTACTATGGAAAGTAAATTTTCATATCTACTTTCCACAGTGGCAAGTTATGTCAAAAGTTAGTGTCGAGCCCTGGTTCAATAGCTTTGATAGATAAACAACTTAATGATATCATGCAAACAGTAGCAGTGGTTAATTACAGTCATTTTCAATCAGCTATTGTTAATGTTACATAACTCTTAAGCAACGCAAAATTTACTGACAGCGTTGCAAAATGTTGGCTGTTTTCTCAGGCTACATGAACTGCTGAAGAAATTTTATTTATTCCTCAAGAGAGCAGGTCAATGGAAGAGCAGTCGCACTAACACAGTTTCTTTATCTTATACTCTAGAAATCAGACGGAAAAAGTGTCATTACTTTCAAAAAAATTGCAGTGAATGATGGCGGAAAGTACACTTGCGAGGCAAGAAATAGTGCAGTTGACAGTAAAGGAAAACCTATTGTGACAACCTTGGTCAGAAACATCAACATCAAATGTACGAGTTTTTAATAGTAGTGACGATGATGATGATAATGATGATGATCTAGATAATAGTTTTATTAATTAATGCTTCAAGTAAATAAAGACATGGTTCGTACAACTGCAGATGAACAAACGTCAAGGACTTTTCAAGGATCTTTCAAGGACAAATTACTGCAGTTTTTCAGGACTAAGATTTATTCAGTAAATTAATTGGCAATCTTTGTCCTCCTTTTGAAGACCTTACTTGCTTAACCACTCAATGGAGTCATTTATGATTTTTACTTCTTCGACCATGGTTGATCACATTTTATTCTACTTTCCACAACAACACTTTGCAAAATGACATGGTATATTTTGACTTGCCATATTGCATCTAAGGTACAGAAATAGTATTTGAAATAAAGAAATAGAAAGTCCTGTTTCTCTTGGATTTCACCATACTTTTCATTCATTTTTACTCGTTTAACTTGAACTTCCCGCTAGCTTGAACTGAATGTCCTTTCCTTGGATCAAAATTTCACTTAAATTTACCCCAATAACTCGAATTCTGGTTCTTGTAACCCCACTCAGATGCCACCCCTTTAGCTCATCTTGTTGTATAATCAGTAAAAACACTAAAACTATAAATGCTAAAGTAATTTAATTTTAATTTTAGCAACGAATAGATGAAGTTTAGTCATTAAAATACATGGTCATGTCACCATTTTTGATTATTAACAAGGCAAAATGGATATATTCAATTGATCTTGATGACTCGAACCCCCAGTAACTCGAACTGTTTGATGCTTGCCCTTAGAGTTTTAGTTCCTGGGGTTCTACTGCAGGGTGCAAAGAAAGTCAGTTTTACAGCCTGCCATTTGGGCAAGCTGTAGCTAGCATGTACTAGCCCACAAGTCATTTCAACTAGCCCCCAAACCCTTTTTGATTAGCAGGATTGATTAGAATCCTAAATGTGATTTGAATTTCCCCCAAAAAACAGCACTTGCCCGTCAGGCAAGTTAAGAACAAAAATCACTAGCCCGATAGCAAAATCCACTAGCCCTAGGCTATCGGACATGACTTTCTTTGCACGCTGTACTGAATATCATTTCACTAACAGGTTTCTTCTTTCAATTTTTAGCTCCCCCTTATATCAACAAACATGCCTCTCCCAGCGAAGTGTTTTCATTCATCGGCAACATGGATCTAACCTTTGTGTCGTGCACGTTTGGTGGTTACCCTCCTCCATTTGTCACCATGACGTTTAAAGGCAAGTTGATGTCTAATGATTCAGTTACAGCAAATACAAGCGTCCGCACAGATGCTAAGAAGAAGTTTGGGGATTATATATGCCATGCAAGAAACGATTATGGGATCAAGAACCAGACAGTCACTCTAAAACAAGTTGGTGAGTAGAATTTCTGTTTGATGTGATATGTCAAAAGCTTAACCCATCTAGAAGCACTGTTTTGAGACTCAGCGGAATCTGTGTCCAGTTATAATCATGTGAAACACCAGAAACAACAGTGTCTACCAACATGTCAGTGGAGACTACAACTGATAAAGCTCACAGCAGGTTTAGAAGTTGAAAGGAAGAAAGGCTTTTCTCATTATTTACTGAAAGCCTTGGATAAATGGTTGCCTATGGGAGATGATAGCTCACAAAAGATCTCCCGCACATGGGAATCTGACAGTAAATTAATTTGTCGCAAGCTTAATATTTGTCTTTGGTTTTATCTCAGGAAAACCCTCAGTAGTGCGTGACTTAAGAGGCACGTCAACTTGTGATTCAGTCAAACTAACTTGGACGCCACCCGTAACAGATGGCGGAATGCCTATCAACAAATATGTCCTGAAATACGATGGAAAAAACCGAAACATTGATGGAAGGGAGACATCATACACAATCACCAACCTTGAACGGAATAAAGTGCACAATTTTATTCTGCGTGCAACAAACAAGGGAGAATGGGGTGACACAACAAGCAAAGAAGTTGAGACTAAAGAGTTTTGTAAGTATGAGCCTATTATTAGAGGTGCTTTTTAGTGAGACATGTAATCAGAGATGAAATTCTGAATTTCAGTTTCTTTGGATTAAATTACCACAAAAGAGCCAAAATGTGTGGAAGCTTAATTATGCATGGAAGCATTGTTTATGAAAGTCTGAAAAAAAATATTGTGGTATATTACTGGAAAATCACTTGTTATGTGTACATCTTTGGGATGAGCATGCGGCCAAAGCAATAAATGTGTGGATCGTGAATCTTTAAGCCTTGGAGGTAGTTCTCATAAAAAATTCATCCACTCAGAGTTACAACAGCATGGATTCTTTACAATTCCAAATCTATTTTGAGTTTTAGTTAAGACATACAAATTCTTTCTAAAATTCATGAATTCATCCAGATGTTGATTTACCTAAAGAAATTTACTTGTAGAGTAATTAACAACTTATTATTCCTCGAGCCCAAATTGACTCAGAAGCCACGAGGGCGAGAGGAATAATTTATTGTTTTAGTAAAATCCAACTAATTGGTCAAAAATATCGAGAATAAAAAATTTTAGCTAGTTAAAGCTAGACTTTAATCCTTTTTTGCTGCCAAAAAGCTGGCGCTTATCGCTACTAGTGGGCTATAACATATAGCCTAGTAGTAGCTCAACCAATCAGAATGCAGCGTTGATAATAGACCACTAGTTGGATTTTACTAATGATAATTAATCGTCAAAACTTGAATGACATCATACTCAGCCTCATTCGATAATTGCTAATAAAAGTTGAATGTTGTACAGACCTGTCACTAAGGTTTCAAATTGCCGGGTATAAATTATGCAGCTAGTGTACAGGGAGTTGAACAGCTGTGAATTTCTCTCTTGTTTTCTCTGAAATTAGCCAAGGATCACTCCCATAGTAGCCGGGGGAAATCCATGGCCCCCAGCTCTTTAAGTGACAGCCTAGTAGTTGTAGTTCAAGCTTATTCTTGTTTCAATGTGTATTTTACATTGTAAAACTTGTTTGAATTAGAGATAAGTTTTATGGTTAAGTGGCGTAGTTGAACCAAATATCCCAAACACCATATCTCGACATAATAAACTTACCTGTCTGTGTCATGTCCTGCACATGTGGTGAAAAACATAGTAATAAATTATGGCAATTGAGGTGCTTAAGAAATGCAGGTTTAAAACGCCGGTCAGTACAAAATGCAGACTGCTGGTGTTTTCAACCCTGAAAACAGTGATCTGCAGTCAGTCTGCAGTCTGCCTTCTGTACTATCCAATTTAAACGCCATTGGTGTCTGTTACTAAGTGAGTTAACTTACATTTTGTAGAGAGATTCTGTGTCTTCTTTATCCTTTAACTTAGTCTGCATCAAATTTCGCCAAAGTGTTTTTTCGTTGACAAACCTATTGTTTGTGGAAAGGACTGCATGCAAGAACCCGTGTACTACCGTACGTTGGGAGACTGGGAACGAGTATTTTCGTATTTAATCAAAAAACCTAAAAATGGCCTTTTACCAACTTTTTCACCTGATTTGACATGAAATAGACAGATTTGGTTGTTTTATCCTGAAAAGTGGATTTTTTTCATAAAGTTTGGTGCTTTGCTTAATAATATTTACATTCAAATTCTCTGGATCTTCATACTTTCAGTTAAGAATGGACTGAACAGGATGGCCATATAGAAAGAGTGTACTTAAGATTATGTTAATGGCGAGATTAAGGTCATTAAGCATCGCGTTTACGGCAAACTGCAAACGTGAGATTCAAGTTGAGAAATTTTCAAAATGAGAAATGAGCAGATAAAAACAGCTTAAAACAATTCTTGTGGTTAGAACTGGTGTGAATCTACCGATGAACGTTAAACGACAATTAGAGGATTTACGGTGTTCTATTGAAAAGTATGACAGCGAATTTCAACAAGTTATAGTTGACTGGAACACCATTATTTTTGCAATTCAATTGAAAAAAGATTGCAAATAGCGCGACGTAGTCCCTGTAACCAGGGCGGATAACCCTAGTCTCCTTCACAGCCGTTTTTGTCTTGTCACGCAACGGAGTATTGTGTGACCGAGAAAAAAAACGGCTGCGGGGGAGACTACTTTAATAACTCCTCCAATCTTGTGTCTCTTTTGTCTCAGGCGCGCCAGGTCGCCCAATCATCTACGAGCCTTCGTCAACAAATCTTGATAAATCTAGCTTCACCCTTAAGTGGAAACGCCCTGAAGACAACGGCGGCGACTCTGACATAGTCTATAAAATCCGTTACCGTGATGAGACCGACCCCGACGATCCGGGACCGTGGAATAATGAAGAAACTAGTGAACTGGAAATTGACATCAAAGATCTTGATAAGTCGAAGCGGTACAAATTCGAGGTCACAGCGACAAATAAGGGAGGAGAAAGTGAACCAGCTGAAAAATATTATTCGAGAAGCAGTCGTGAAGGTATGAATGTTACGTACACAAGGAACCCTTCAATATTTTCGCTCTGTTCATACGGAACTCTGAACGACTAGGCGTCTAAATTTTCGTACGTTAAGATGATCCCGTGCGAGCGGAACACCTTAACGCCCGAATTTTCAACCTGTCGAAAATTCGTCCGGGGCCGTGTTAACGTAGCCTTACTATAGGAAATTAACGCAAATTTCCGCGACTTTAATTTCCATTATTTTGGCCCCAAATTCTCGAAATATTTTTGATGTTGTTGACACCTAAGAAAGAGGGGATTATTACACGTTTCTGGGAAACTGCCCACCTACCCCTCCCTTAAGCTAACATCAGCACTTGCTTCTCACTTAGGGCAAAATGTTGGCTTAGGGGAGGGGAAGGTGGGCAGTTTTCCATGATCCGAAAGAGGAGTATCTTATCAGGGTGGAGTTCCTTCAGTATCATTAAAAACTGAGAAGAACTCTCGCTGTGGCCAGATTTCTTCTCTCGACCTACCCCTTTCGTACTTTTAGGGAAAGTAGCGTAAAGTTTCCTTTTCGCATTACACATTTAACTTTGTCCCTTTTGTTTAAAAAAGTTACGTCTTGGTATTTTCCTTCATTTTGAAATGTTACTCTCTCTCTTTCGCTCTTTCCAACACCTTAATTTCATGGAGCGTTAATTTCCTATAATAAGGTACAGAGGGTATTGAGGTCAAATGTGCAGACTAGAAAGAACTTGCCTCTAAGCAAAGCTAAAAACTAAATCAATACATGGGTTGAGAGGTACGAAGAAGTTTTAAAGGGACTTATTAGAAAATGGAGCCTATTTAGGAGAGAGAAGGGGCTTATCAGAGCATCTAAGTGATCTCTCTTGAAAAAGCAACAAACGAATGAAAGGGCAAGTTGCAAACGAAACTGTGGTGCTGTGTTGGTTGGCGGGCGCAGGGGCAAATGGTTTTATCAACTGTGATTGTGAAGTCAATTTACCACAGTGAAAAGAGTCAAAAGCTGGCATTTCGAGCGATTGCCCTTTGTCAGAGTGAGGGAGGGGAGTGGGGAAGGGTATCAAAAGAGAAAATTAAGACCCCCCGTCTTTATTCCCGCATATGAGAATAGGGCGTTTTAGTCTTTGCGCGGTTCACCCTTGTTTTTTTGGGGGGAGGGGGGTGGTGGTGGGTTAGGGGGTTCGCTTTTCCATTTTATTCTGGCCAAGATTTACGTGTTTAGATTTGGAAATTAAACCTTTTTTACTCTTCTCATTTTTAGCTCGCAGTTCGCAACCCCATCTTGTCGCCAGTCTTACGGTTACCCTCGTCATGGTAATCCTTCAACTGCGCATGCTCTGACGTCAAGACACGCCGAGAACTGAATCTTCATGCGATTAAGCAGAAAAGAAGGAGGATATCGATCAATTTGTAAAAATAATCAGTAGCTATAGATAGTGAGCCTTAATTAATGATTTATGCTGGACGGATCCGTTTTAAACCATACTTAAACCCAATCAAGCTTCAAGGAGGCCCTTTTCAGAGGGTTATCGCGATTCTTTCAGCACTCATTTTGCAATCATGGGAACTTTCCTTTGATTCTGACAGAGTCACTGTTTATCCTTGATTCCCATTTCAAGGTGTAATTCTGTTGTATTTCAGTCAAAGTTACGTACTGCTGAATTTTAGTTGCAGTTTTATGTAACGTTTTAGTGTGGGAAAATAGCGCTTAGGTCCGGCAGATTGCCGGCTAATTTTAGGTAAATAGTGAAAAGACTTACGCATTGGACTCGTCTGGTTACCGCGTTTTAGATCGGTAATATGGCATAGAATTAAAAAAAGACAGGCAACCCAAGCTCGCGATGTGACACGTGACGGGGACGCCTGTGTTTGTCGAAGTGAACAGCATCTGCAGTGCTGCAAAGACTTCGCACGCTTCTGCGCGTGAGCCATGTTTCTCTCACGATCGTCACGCAGCAACACGAAACTATTGTCATAAATCTTACCGAGACAACTCTGGCAGCAGTCATTTTAGGGTTTGGCACCCTAAGCGGAACCATTTTACAAATTAAATCCCCTTTAAAGTACGACGAGCATCCCCGGCACTTTTAGAGGGGAGTAGCCCCCCCCCCCGGGAAAAATGGATTTCAGAGTAAGCGATTTGCTGCAAGTAGCTGTTCACGTGGTGTTTACTACATGCCATCTGGACTCTGAGAGCAGTTCGTGTGTGCCCCATGTTTATACGTCCTGTATTTCTTCCCATATTTCTATAGAAGGAACGTTAGCTATAGGGTTCGACAAGTGACAGCTTCACAGTTTTCAGTTTTTTGTTAAAGCGAGATTTAGAATCACGTTACGTCAAACACCACGTGACCAACTTCTCCATTTTCTTGTCATTTTTGTCTTTTTTTATATCTGCAGTGGCAGATCCAGACTTTCAGATAAGAGGCGGGGGGGGGGGGGCATCTAAACCATGAGATAAGGGGGGGACGGTCTTAAAAAAATTTCAGTTTGGTCCAAAAATAAGGTGGGGGAAGGGGGGCGGGCGGGCCCCACGGGACCCTCCCCTGGAACCGCCAATAATCTGTACACCATCATGTCAGTGGTTCCATATATGCACAGTTTTAATATGTGTACATTCTAATTTGAGAATAACGTTTGTCAATTTGAAGCAGACTTTTGCCGTGAACTTGGTCCTAAATATCTCTATCCGACTACCTTAACCTTCCGCTTGATCAGTATATCTTTAATGAATCGTTTTTATGATAATAAGTTAGTCTTAACAAAACACATTTTGGCGTTCTGTGTTCTAATTTTCCTCATTCTAATGTTGTTTTTGAAGTGTTTTTTAAAGTAAAAGCTCGTGTGAAGTATATTACTTAGTTATGTAGGTTCGAGTTGAGTTTGCTACGATGTTATTAAGTTGATAAGTTACGAAAAATTAGGTGGAGTTCCATTTTGTTTGTTGGGGACCAATTTCGTCTTTGGTTTGAAATTGATTTTTCCATTTTTGTAACCTTAATTTCAGACATCCCTTCGAGAAGCATACTCCATTTGAAGGATGTCTGAAATGCCACTGCCATTTTTGCGACATTACCATAACCCAAAACAAAGGAAAGCCAAATTTAAACCAAGGATAAAGTTGAATCACCGCTCAAACATTCCCCTTATAAGTGTAAACTTTCGTCTCAAGACTATCCACGTTCATAACATCAACCTGATTTTAAAATTCGGGATACTGCAAAGAGTTTCCTCTCTGAAGAAAATTTTAAGAAAAAAGTTTCAGCGTGATGTGTGAATGTAACAAGGGAGAAAAGATTATTAACAAACCATCGATTAAATATTTGATATGTGGTTACAATGTATTAAGATAATAAACTTCTATGTAATAAAGCAACAGAGTGGGCTTGTTACATGATCAGTAATCGACCTCCTTACACGGTTTAAAAGACTTCGTAGGGTCAGAAGAGCGAGCGAAATACGCCAGTGCGCGCGTAGAATGCGTGGCAAAAGTTCCCTCGCGATTTCGTAGGGAGGGTTTGAATGAGAGAGCGGGTGAGAGAGCAGGAAAAGAGGAAGTTGCTTAACGAACTCGCGCGGAAACGCTTGCTGAGCAAGTTAGTGCACGAAACTCGCCTCGCGCGAGGAAGGAGACGCTAAGCCGGGTCGTCGTCAGATGCAGGGAACACGCATGTGAGCTGTGCTGAAATCTGTAAACTGAACTGTCTTGAATTTTACTACTGTTCAAATAGGAACGTAGGAACGTAAGGCAAACGTTAAATAGTTGTTGAGCTGCTCTATGTCAGTACCTGCGTACGCGTGAGTCCGTCCATAAGGTCATTTCTATCGTTCCAGCACGTGCGGTAACGCGTAAACTTCGGAGCCGAAGGGACTGTTGTCTCCGTATTTTTTTACTCCTTATAAAGCATTTTTTATTGAACGTCTTCAAAGATTTACAATACAAACAGCATTTGATGCCCTCCAAATGACAAAGAGAAAAACAACATATAGATAAACTGGGAAAACAAGACACGAAAAATTCTCAGATAATAGCGTAATTCTATTAATCTCCCCGTAACCATTGCTATAAATATTCCTATAATTACATTAGCCATGCCTATAAATATTTTAAAGCGACCCCTACAATTTTTATTCTAAGACGGTTCAAAGCTAGTGCCTGGGGATGGAATGCGGGAACTTCCTTATGAAAACTTCGGGAGTGCTCGTTGAAAATTTAGATTCAAGCCCGGCGAATCTTCATCTTAACATACGGTAAAACGGGCAACAACAACCTGCAACTTTTTTTACAGCTTGGCTGCAAAACGAGTTGAATAGCGATGTTGCGCGTTTTACCAGCCACGAATCAAACTGTATTGCAACAAACCAGGGTGTAGTCTGCTACACGGCCGTTTTTAGTGTCGTCACGCAACGCTCAGTGGGAGGAGCGTTGCGTGACGACTCTAAAAACGGCTGTGTAGCAGACTAACCAGGCTGCAGCAGCTTGCGAAAAGTTGTTGCAAAAAGAAGAGAGTTGTTCTACTTTTTGCAACAAAATCTGTACATGTTGCGCGTTTTACCAGCCAAGGCAAACTTGTTTTCCAACAAGTGACGTAACTCCCGAGTATAGCAGAACTCCCGCGTAATTTTAAACCAATCCGAAATCAGAATTCACGCAACTTACAACAAAAACCTGATTTGTTACAAAACAGGTTTGAAAATGGATGGTAAAACGCGCAACATTCTTTTCAACTTGTTCTGCAACAATTTTGCAAAACAAGTTGCCCGCTTTTGTTACCAGTTTTACTGTAACTCTAAACTTTTTCGGGACAAAATAATTCCATCTCTTCTGAATTTTTTTGGACAGGTGGTACGGCTACGTTTTGAGGATCGGAGGTGAGATACAAGAAGAGATGAACGGCACCATAAAGCATCAAGCCAAGTCCGATGATAGCTCCACAAATACACAAGATTAGCATCCATGTAGGCATGCTTGACGAAGAAGGCTGGTCTGGTTGTGATAATGGTTCTATAGCAAAACAAAAGAGTAATAGTAAATTAACTTCAATTGAAAATGAACTAAAAAGGTTCACAAGCGCCTTCAATAACAGTCACTTAACCCTTTGCTAACTCTTGAGTGTGACCAATAATCAAACTTCTCCTTACGGTACACAGCTCAGTCAATTATAAAGGTTGTGAGAAAACAGGAAATGGTCAACAAATGTAAAAAGGTTGTGACTGTTAAATTCTCTTCATCGGTATCAAATGAAATGTACGGAGAACATTGTGGGGAATATGCATGTTGATATATTTTAATTATTGTTCATGACTGGAGAGACCAGCCATTAAGTGATTTGTTATATAGCCCACGAAGAGAAACTTCTACGTGTACAATCTGTAATCTCAGCATGCGGTCAACTTCCTCAACTTCCCCATTGACCCTCTCACGTCAGAGTTTTGCAATTTTGCCCGCTCCAAGACTTTTGGCGGGAAAAAGTTTCATTGTTAGATGTCATGTGACCTCGAAGTGGTCAATGAGATTTTTCGACGTTGGGAAAAAACTAATTATAAACGTATGGTAAACAAGAACAACAATTTCATGACCGCGGCTAATCTCTTGCCCAGATCTTTTTTTTATGAAGCCGAAAGTCTTCGTTTTTGTCCAAAAAACCTGGGTACGAGATTGGGTCGTTGTGAAAAGTAGAGTTAGCAAAAGATACTTATTATAATTTACCTCTCTCAGGCGTAGACTGCTGCGATTTGCGAAGTCTTATGGGACCAAGGGTGACACGGTGTATTTCGTCCTTCCCAATACTCCTTGCGCGCCTGCTGTCTGGTTGGCATCCCATACTGCAGCGCGTGCTACCATATTTTTGACAGACAATGACGTTGCAATGGAGATACACTAATGTGTAGTTTTCAGGAACCCATCGAAATGGGTCCAACCGGAATCGCTGAGTTGGGGTTAATGTATGGTCGTATTTAGTTCCGTTATCGACAGGACATCTAGAACGACAGGAGGAAATAGTTTGAAATACGCACCGCGCTATTGTGTAGGAGGGTCTTGCAGAAGGTGACGTATGGTGAGAGATAATAGGCTGATTTAGCAACAGAACGGGAACGTCAGTTGACAACGGCGCGCGCAAATCAAACAACTGGCTTGACCAATGGCAGAGCGGCAAATTGGACACCGGAAGTCGTGTGTAGTCCTTTCCGCGCGCTTTCTTGTCGCCAACTGACGTTCCCGTCCTGTTGCTAAATCAGCCTAATAGGGAGCTTTAGCAACAACGACGGCGACGGAAAAAGGAATAGGTTTATTACGCAAAACAACAACTTTACACGTGCATCATGCTTTTTTGTACATTTCTTTACTGTCCTTGCATGGCTACGACGTGAAAATGCCTAATTGTAAGTTTTATGGAGGACGTAAACAAGTGACGATTCAAGAAATTGGAATAAACGCGACTAAGATTGAAAAAAAACGGGAATCCATCTTAAAACTGACGTTTTCGCTGCCGTTGCCGCCGTCGATGCTAAAGCTCCCTAGTTTTAGCGACGGCGACGGCGACGCCATCGAGATCGTCAAAACAGCAATAGGTTCATTAAGCAAAACTACAAGTTTGCACGTGCATCATGCTTTTCTGTACATTTCTTAGCCGTCACTGCACGACTACGACGTGAAAATGCCTAATTTCACGTTTTATGGAGGACGTAAACAAGCGACGACGAAATTTTCTTTCTCTTTCTTAACTTGAATGCGGTCCCCAAGAAAACAACTCTAGAGAAATTTGCCTACGTTAGACATTTTCAGCCAATTGGAATAAACTTTGAAAAAGTTTGAAAAACGCCAATTCATTTTAAAAGCGACGTTTTCGCTGCCGTTGCCGTAGTCGATACTAAAGCTCGCAAAGAAGGAGCTTAAGCAACGACGACAGCGACGGCAACAAGAACGGCAAACATATGATGATTATGTTATTTATAATGATGATGATGATTATTATGATGAATAGGGATAATGATGACAACGATGAAATGGATGGAGATATGAATGGCGATGATAAAACTGATAACAAAGATAATGGTGAAGATGAGGTTGACGGTGATGATTCAGCTCAAATTGGCAAGAAAAATTACACCCAAACAACAAATCAGATACATTACCCGTCATCTATAAATATATACTGCATACTATCTGCGGGGTTCATAGATGGCGTCGCCACACAAGTATCAGCAAGAAGAACGAGTCCGGAGTCTGACGTGTCAAGTTTAGCTTCACAGTAAAGGTGACCAAACGGGTCCACATTGACCGGGTATTCCGACACGTCGTACGGGGTCTTGTACTCGGAGCTCCGATATAAACCCATTTCGAAGGAGAAGTTTCCGTGTCCCTCTGAAAAGAGTAACAAAAGGTTGTGATATAAAGCCTGTTGAAAATACAGTCAAACTTGTATTTACCCTTGGGAAATGGTTCACTGACCGCCTTATACAGGATGACCGTTTAATACAGGTTTGGCAAACCTAAGTGTTATTCAAGAAAATGAACTTCAAGATGGTGAAAGAGGAAGAAAAAATCGCCCGACAAATCGACCTCAAATTGTTTCTATTTCTTCTTGTGCCAAAACAAGGGAAGTAAAAGACCATTAAATACCATACACAGCGTATTTGTTGCATTAGGAGGCTACATCTCGTCAAAGTGACTGTTTAGTAGAGAAAGAGATAATAAAAAATATCTCATTGGGACCTGAGGAAAAGGTGACCACGACCGTTTATAATAGGCTGATTTAGCAACAGGACAGGAAGGTCAGTTGACGACGGGAAAGCGCGCGGAAAGGACTAAACACGACTTCCGTTGCTCAATTTGCCGCTCTGCCATTGGTCAATCCAGTTGTTTGATTTGCGCGCGCCGTCGTCAACTGACGTTCCCGTTCAGTTGCTAAGGCCCGGTTCAGACGCCGCTCCACTCATGTGCCGAACCTAACTGAGTTTGGTTCGACTTTGGAGCGACATTGGCGCGACATCTGATTCAGACGGCGCACCGTGTGTCGAACCTAATCTTTATTTTCATGTATGAGAAGAACGCCGGGTGAATCACCTGTCGCTCCAATGTCGAATAATGCGACAGCCCCTGTCGAACTTAACGTTTTTGCCCCAACAAATTAAGACTGCCGTATCGCTTACAGGCCAGACTTTTGCCGTATTAACCTCTTTTCGGCAAGAGAGCGGCGTCTGGCCGGGCCTAAATCAGAGAACTGATTAATAAGACAGGCCTCTTTAAAGACTTTAAAGACATAAACAAGGGCATAAGCATAAAATACACAATGAAGACATCAGCTTAAAAATATCAACAGCTGTTTTTCCTGCCTAACGCTTACACAAGAGCCTATCCCACCGGAGTGTCAATCTCTCTCCTGAGGCCTGGGAGACATTTCCACAGCGTATTAGCCTTTCAAACCATGTGTAAATTCATTTTTCGAGCCAACAAACACTCTCAGCCAATCAGAGCAGATTGAAGTGTAGTATCGGTTGGCAAATAAAATGTCGGGAGGGTAGTGTCGAACGCAGCCTTTTTTTGTGTCATCAGGCAACGCTCCTCTACAAAGCTCATTAAGGGTGCGTTTGATTAAGCGGATCCAGGAAGAAGAAAACGCAATTTTTTGTTAATACAAATCCCTCGCATCGTGACTTTTGGACCACTTAAACGCTACATACATCGGCATATTATATTTCAAGGAGATTTCTAGGCATTACAATGCAATGAAGGCCAAAACAAATGACAGAGTTGACTCCATTTATTCTTTGTCAATCGAACGCGCCCTTAATAACTTCTATATCATCCCTACTCATACGATGTCGAAGGATCAATGATTGCATCGACCGCAGCACCCCCTTCCCATCCCTTAGGGGGGAAGGGGGGAGAAGCGTAGCGTAGCGTTGATAGCCCGTGTTAATTTGCGCTCCTTAAATAAATGGAGAGGGAATCAAGCAATTGTATTTTACCTTTCAGATACGTGATCTTTTTCCTGGGTTGAAAGCTTGGAGATCCAATAGTCTCACGGACGCCATAAGTGCAAGAGAAAGGAAACTCAACTATATAAATAGTCTCCTTGTCTGCTGTTTCCGCCACAATTTTATTAAAATACGTCACCGAATCTTCGCCATCCTTATTAGTTGTTCCGCAAGCATCCAACGGTGTCCTTAAAGAGACGTGTTCAGAAGTGACAGTATGGGAGCCGCATGATTTGTTGTCAAAGCGGAAGGTCTCCGTATCAAGGTAGGAAGACTTGAGAATGAACTCCACCTGCATATAGAATGACGTGCAGTTGACTGACATGTCGTAAACCAACAATGGCTGACCAGAAGGACCTAATTTGAAGACGAAATTAAAAAGGAGTTGAAACGTAAACTGCTTGCGGTGTCTGGAAGCGTATTCCCAGGATCCAGGATTTGGATAAAAGACAGTGCGGTATTCAGGGAGCGTTAACGGGATACGGCGTTTGATTGCTACCCGGGATAAGGGATATGCCACAATTTTGAGTGCGGATGCAGGTTTGGAAAAAAGCTATATTAGGGATAATGAAGGCAGAAGTTCGGAATGTGTAAACTACTTACGGTGTCTGGAAGGGTATTCCCGGGATCCGGAAATTGGATAAAAGACAGTGCGGGATTCGGGAAACGTTAACATGATACGGGATATGCCACATTTTAAGCACGGATGCGGTATTAGGAAAAAAGCGATATTAGGGATAAACTCCCGGCCGAATGACGGTGGAAGTTCGGGATGCGGGATTCCCGTGAAAAATAAGCGGGAATGCGGAAATGAATGACAAGATACACTGGAAAAGTTGAAAATGATAATAACGAAGATGACTACGATTATCACGATGGCTGTGAAGGTAATGATTATGAAAATGATGATGGCAGTGAGGATTGTGGTCGTCATGGTGATACAGGTGGTGGAGGTGAAAATGATAACGATGATAACATTGGTGACGATGATCCTTTAATGTCCAGTTATGCCTCGCTTCAAAACTTATTCGGACCTCGGTGCTTCATTTATTACATTTCTCGACATAACTTATTCGTAAGAACTGTTCAAAAAATCTCACTTTCAAAACGGGCGACATTTTATTTGCATATTTTTCATATCAATGGCTTCGCAGCGTCCATTTCTCGACCTGTAGGGCTTCGCACCAGCTGCCCCCGCCCCCTAGATCCGCCCGTGCAAAAAGCTACTGATTTTACCTGGGTCGGTTGGTGTAGGAGTTACATCAAGACCGCTGTACACATTAAACTCTTTTACCGCGGGCTCTCTCTTTCTTCCGGCAACATTGGATACGAAAACCCGGAATTCGTATTTGGAACCGCTTTCCAGACCTGTCACATTGTATTCTTGGGTGAGAATATTCTTGCGCGAGTTCCAGTGCACATATTTTCCATCAGCTGTTTCCTTGCTGTATTCAACAATATATCGCAGATCGGGATCTCCGCCGTCATTGGGAGGGCGGGTCCACTTTAGTGTGAAGCTCGTACTGTTTAACCACGTGACGTTATTCGTTATGGTGTAAGGTCCACTCGGGGGGCCTATGGACGAAGGAAAAGGAATTTTTTGGAAAAAAAAATTAATAGCTCAAGTAAGCACTATATACTTGAAAACTGTTTTGAAGTCTCTCAGTCGTTTTCTATTTACAGTTAATAATATTTCTAATCAAGAAGGTAACTATGCACACTTTTTTGAACTTGAAACTGGTGGTCATTTCCTGTTCTTGCCGGCGCCTGGTGGCAAAAAAATTTCCCGCGCTCGACACCAATTGGCCACTGGGTAATTTCCCGCGACTGGGGCCTCTAGCTTATTTTCCCGCGCTTCTCACCTATCATGTGATTTGCTTTGCTTTTTAATATCGCCAAGATACCAACGTACAAGTGATTTAGAATACACTTCAACGCTGGCTGTAATAAAATTGATCTGTGTAAATCTCGTCGTTCTATTTGTTTTAAGATACTTACAGTAAGCAGATATCACCGAGCTCTGTCCTTTTGGTCCCTTCTCAATCTCGTTAAAAGCTTGAACATAAACTGTGTACAACGTCCTTGGTTTTAAACCGTCTTTGCTCGTAAACGTAAATCTGTTTGTGGTCATCCCGACAAACACCGAATCCGACCACTGGCTCGTATCATTGATTTCCAAGGCATAACGTACCAGCGGTAGCCCACCATCAAATTCTGGTGGCGCCCAGGCCACTGTTAAGTGATCGCAGGTGAGAGTAAACGTGATGTTTCGAGGGGTAGTAGGAGGACCTGAACAAAAATAACAACAAAATATGCTGTATTAACATTTCAGCATTTGCTGCACTCTTGTTTTATGGCCACCTTAGCTTACTGAGAGATAACGTGCAAACTGGTGATTAAGATAAGACAGATAAGGTATAAAAACTGGAGAAAAATACTGACTGCTATAACATTTAACTTGACGTTTCGTACAACATACGTCTTCAGAAGTTCAGGGGCGGAGCGTCCATAAACGTACTTACGCCCGTGCGTAGAACTTTATTTCTTGAAAGCATTTTTATCATTAAACAGGGATGATTGATAAATCGTTCGCATTTTATTGGTATCTTGGCACATCAGGGTAGACGTCGCTCCCTTTGCTCGTAGATTCCTTGATGGCATCATTTTTTTACCTTGTTTTTCGTAAACACTGTAACAGTACCTGGCGATAACCTTAGAGATGTAAAATAAACAACTATTGCATTTTTTTAAAACGGGAATGGGAAATCAACTTATCTTACACAATAAAGTATTGTTCTACAATTGAATATTTGTTGTAACCTCAATTAACAGTCACTGCTTAAGATGTACCTTCCGGACACTTTTGTAGTTCACTTGAAGTATTCCACTAACCTTGTTCATTGATATCCACAACATAAGTCGCCGAGCCGAGAGGGTTTGAAGCATGACAAGTGTACGTTCCAAAGTCTTCTTCACCATCAGTAATTACAGTAGCTGTTAGATTACCAAGCATGTCTTTTCCTGTCGGTTCCTGAACCTCAAAATCCTCACTTGGTAGATCTATGTCATTCTTGCGTATGCTGAGTGTCAGGTTTGGATAACCCCACCACACGCACTTGATGATGACTGCAGTCGGGTTGCCCACATACGAGTACAGTTCTGTTTTTTTGGTAGATTCTTCTACGTTTATTCTTGGAGGACCTATAATAGGGAAATAATTATCTTGCATTTAGTTCTTTCGTCAACACCGGGGGGGGGGGGGTACTCAACAAATTTTTATGCAGGGAGGCTCCGCCCCGAGGTCCAACCCCTTGCCCTTTTATATACCATTTTTCACGAAAAAGGTATTCCTTTCGTATACCTGCCCTGGGTACCCCTTTCACATACCTTGTTTGCGACTTTGCATCCCTTTTAACTGCTGTAAATGCACTGTCATTTTAATAGAAATCAATCCCCAAAATAGAACGTTTTCTCGACTTTATAAAGCCGTAAAATTCATCCGTTAGGCCTTTGGGCCTTTTCACAGACCCAAATGACAGATCTCCCTACCCTTTCATATACTTCTGCAGGTAAAATCCCTCAACAGCCTAGCGTGGACGGTGCTTTTTCAGAAATCTTTCGTTTCAGACTTACGAAGTTATCAAAATGTTAAGAAACCTGCAAAGGCAATTTCCTAAACAAATATCACTGGTAGGCATCCAGGGCACGTGGACTTGAAAGTGCCCTATCTGGTTTATTTTTTTGGGTTAGTTCTTCTGCTGGTCATGTTGAAAGGTAAAACGACTCAATCCATTCAAGTATCACGAACCACCAGCGCTACTTTGAGTTTGATCCGAAACCATGCACACTATTTTGAACTTGAAACTGGTTGTGTCATTTCCTGTTCTTGCAGGCGCCTTGTGGCAAAAAAATTTCCCGCGCTCGCACCAATTGGCCGCTGGGTAATTTCTCGCGACTGGGACCTCTACCTTATTTTCCCGCGCTTCTTATCTATCATGTGACTTGTTTTGCCCTTTAATATCGCCAAGATATCAACGCAAAAGTTATTTAGAATAGACTTCAACGCTGGCTGTAATACAATTAATCTGTGTAAATCTCGTCGTTCTATTTGTTTTAAGATACTTACAGTAAGCAGATATCACCGAGCTCTGTCCTTTTTCTCCCTTCTCAAATTCGTTAAAAGCTTGAACATAAACTGTGTACAAAGTCCCTGGTTTTAAACCGTCTTTGCTCGTAAACGTAAATCTGTTTTTGGGCACCTCGACAAACACCGAATACGACCACTGGCTCGTATCATTGATCTCCACGGAATAACGTACCAGCGGTAGCCCACCATCAAATTCTGGTGGCGTCCAGGCCACTGTTAAGTGATCGCAGGTGAGATTAAACGTGATGTTTTGAGGGGCAGTTGGAGGACCTGAACAAAAATAACAACAAAATATGCTGTATTAACATTTCAGCAATCTGCTCTGTCAAAAACTGTCTTATAACACTCTTGTTCTTGGGCCACCTTAGCTTACTGAGAGATAACGTGCAAACTTGTGACTCAGATATGGTAAAAAAACTGGAGACAAATACTGACTGCTATAACATTTAACTTGACGTTTCGTACGACATACGTCTTCAGACGTTCAGGAGCGGAACGTCCATAAACGCACTTACGCCCGTGCGTATAACTGAATTCTGAAAACATTTATATATATATATATATATATTATTTATTTCTGAAAGCATTTTTATCATTAAACAGGGATGATTGATAAATCTTTCGCATTATATTGGTATCTTTGCACATCTGAAGGGTAGATGTTGCGCCTTTTTCTTGTAAACTTCTTGATGGCATCATTTTTTTAACTTGGTTTTCGTAAACACTGTAACAGGACCTGGCGATAACCTTAGAGATGTAAAATAAACAACTATTGCATTTTTCTAAAATGGGAAATCAACTTATCTTTAAGAGAGTATTGTCCTAGATTTGAATATTTGTTGTAACCTCAATTAACAGTCACTGCTTAAGATGTACCGTCCAGACATTTTTGTAGTTCACTTGAAGTATTCCACTAACCTGGTTTATTGATATCCACACTATAATTCGCCGAGCCGATATAGTTTGAAGCATGACAAGTGTACGTTCCAAAGTCTTCATCACCATCAGTAATTACAGTAGCTGTCAGATAACTAAGCATGTTTTCTCCTGTCGGTTCTTTCACCTCAACATCCCCACTTGGTAGAGCTGTGTCATTCTTACGTATGCTAAGTGTCGGCTTTGGATCACCCCACCACACGCACTTGATGGTGACTGCAGTCGGGTTGTCCACATACGAGTACAGTTCTGTTTGTTTGGTAGATTCTTCTAAGTTTATTCTTGGAGGACCTATAACACGGAAATAATTATCTTACAGTTCTTTCGTCAACACCCGGGGGGAGGGGGTACTCGACAAATTGTTATACTCGGAGGCTCCGCCCGGAGGTCCAACCCCTTACCCTCATATATACTATTTTACACGAAAAAGGTACCCCTTTCGTATATTTGCTATTGAAAAATGGTACCCCTTTCACATACCTTGTTTAGAAATTTGCAACCCTTTTAACTGCTCCCCTTTGGTATACTTCTACGAGAAAAGGTACCCCTTTCGGATGGAGTCTCCCCGTATGGGCCATTATAGGGAGTACCCCCCCCTCCCCGGCGTCAACAGTCATGGGTTTTCGTTTAAACAAGCATTCATTTTCATGCGTTTCGTTCTTGTCTTGTGTCCATTCAAGAACAAAAAAATACAAATTTTTGGAAACAAGAGTTTTAAGAAAACGAACGTTTTCGAGGACGCTCTCAAAAGGGAGGTGCTTCTATATCATGATGGACAAACGACAAACGAAAGTTAAGGTGCTGATGTCATAGCAAGAGCCATAATAGGACAGAGAGGGACACTCAGGGCGTTGGCCGGGATATCTTAATCCCAAAAAAGTTATTTTTAGAACTATGCGGACCATGCGAAAACAGTTTCCGGTAAACTGGTTCACTTCCGGAAGACTCGCTTTCACGATTTCAGGGCGCCAAAGCGAGGCACCGTCAACAAATAAAAAAAATGGCGGCACAAGTGGTAGGACGATGTGAAGTTGATAAATTGGCCTTCTTCAACAAAGAACCTACCATAGAAACTGCTTAAAACTTCTACACAAAAGGGTCCTTTACAAGCAACGGTAGAAATCGGTAAAAGCGACCGCGTGACCATCGTTTTTGTTTGAACAGCTGGAAAGAGGACAAGTAGCATTGCGGCCCGGATAAGCGTTGAAGACAAAATGCGCGGGTCCTACAAAGACGACCGTACAAGCAACCATGTGGACGTATTTTCTCTTGAAAGAGGAAGGAAAAGAACGTATAAAGGTTTCCAGTATTTTTGTCACGGACATGACCGGGAATCTTGTGGAACACACCTTTGCCTGCTTGACTGATATTTTGTTCCGCACTTCACATTGGACAATTAGCAATTCTTTATTGAACACGAGGTTAATAGAAGCGGAGGTTAATGTTCCTAAATCAGTAAAGAAACCAAAAAGCTCAATTTGATTGACGGATCAAATCATGCGTGGAAATCGGTAAACAATAGGTTTCATCTTTACAGAATTTTCAAACATTGCAAATCAAATCGGAAACAATAGCCTATATGGGTTATATGGAATCGCCAGAAGTTTAAATTGTACTTTCAAGCCTAAGAAGAAAAGTAGAGCTTTGTTTTCATTCGTCGACTCGCCAAGTTAGAGGAAAAAGGTTTTTTGTGCAGCTAATTTGTGCTGTTCTTTGTAAGTGCAGACAATGGTGGCCCGGTTGCTTGAGGTATTAAAGGAGCCGTTTCTCTGTAGTCTTCTCTGTCCTGTTTGATTGAAATCTCGAGCTTTCGTTAACATTTGCTTTCATTTTTTTTTCTCATAAGTCAGTTGAATCTGATTTCGGGGGAAAATTTGTCTTTAAAGGAAATGTTGAGTTCACCCACCCCTTCTACTCGATTAAACTGTAATGGTCAACATTCCATCGAGCAAAAAATATTGAAACTTTGAAGTATTTTCATACCTTCAAAAGAGTGGACCCTAGGATTTTGCCAAATTCTGAGAGGTTCTTACTCTAAAAAAAATTAGCAAAACAAGGAGCTCACGAATTATTTACTCGCGAGGTTAAAACACTATCACTGAGTGTGTATCCTGAAACCAATTTTTGATTGTAAAAACTTTATTTGTGTAAGGTTATTTGTGTTTTTCATGTTGTAAATGGTGTTGAAATAAATACGACAGTATGATAATCTCATCTGAAGTTTGCTTTACCAAGCCTCATATTTTCCCCATACACCTGTAATAATTAACCTTTACAGATCCTGCACCACAATCTATAGGTAAGATTTCCATACAACCCCAAACATTTGTTATGTGTCTTAAATAATATATGCTTGCTGCATGCATAATAAATGTAGGGGTTTGGATGCAAAGGACCTTTTGATGTTGTGTTTGCCACTTATTGATCCAGCAAGTTTTGTCTACTTTAGTAAGCACTCATGGTGTTAGGTGTCGGCTGCTGAATGTAGTCTTTTCTTTTTTTCTCTATAGAAAGCACTCAAAAGTGTTAAGAATATAAACTACTGCAATAAGTTCAAGCTGTGTATAGCTTCTTGTTTATGATTATGTCTTATTTCTTGTACCTCCCCTCCTCAGTGAAAGCCTAATTAACTCATTTTCTACATTGTATGGTATGCAGACCCCATATTAAGCAGACACCCTGTATTCAGCAGTCGAATAGCTCAAAATGTGGCAAAACATTTCTTTCCACAATTTAAGAAAAACAAACCAGTATTTAGTGGATATCTCTAATTAGCAGAAAGGAGCAAAGTTTGTGTGGATGTCCCCCTAATTCTAAAAATTATACAGGTTTTTTTTTATTTATAACAACCTTGTATACATAAAAATAGGTGGTAAAAAGAAGGATGAGTGAGGGTGCAAAGAGAGAAGAACTGAGTCCTTATGCCAGGCTGGCTCCCTCCCTGAAGATATAACATAAAATACAACATGTAAAGGTTTCATAAAACTGGTACATCATTTTTATGTTGTGTGTCTTTTAGACTGTGAGCAGTCTCTCTTCAGCTTGAAAATCTGTGGCGAGTATTTGAGCAGCAAAGTTGTGTGAGTTGCGAGGGCGCAAATTCAAATCGCTACTCAAATACTCTAAACACACATTTTCAAGCAAAAGAGAGACTGCTTGCAATCTATATGTCTTTCAATGTCTGCCAACTTTTCTGTTGTTTTCTGACAGGTTGAATTGAAGGAACAAGAATACTAGCAATCATGAATTCTCTTTTAAGATCTCTGCATGACCTTGCCATGGAATTGATACTGGGGAAAATAATGTACAAGTTTGACAAACAGTGCAAGTTCTATATTTTGGGGCAAGGGAGCACTTATTTATTTATTTATTTATTATTTTTTATACTTCTTTTAAACTGTGTGGCTGCCAATACATTTGGGATTTGAAATTTGAGGAATACTGAGAAGAGTGTGACCAACTGAGTGACACACACATTATTGTGAAAGGTTTGAACCCAGGAGTCATTTCAAAAGTATGTTGAGTTTGATCGTCCGCGTGAACGTAGTCACTGTCAACAACAACAGTCCTATTCAGGACTACGTTCACCTGGATGATCAAACTCAACTCATGTTACACATGTTATTGTATACACTACATTAATATTAATTTGTCTCCTTCTAGATGCTTTTCTCTACATTGCCTCTTTCAAGCCATGGCATGAATAGATGCAATTGATTCAGTCACACACTATGTTTTATTGCTCCAGAATGTTTCTCTCAATGCAATCCTGGCATGCAGGTGCATAAATTGATTAACTCACCAATGAAAGAAACTTGACCTAATTAAGAGGTCAAGGTGTGACCAAAGGTTTTATTTTAATGTGATACTGCCATTTTTAACTTAAACCCTTCCTCAATGAAGGTCATATTCTCAAATACTGATCAGCTTAACTGATAATAACAACCTCAATTTCCTGTGATGTCTTAGTGGTTGCATGAGGCCTGATCAATCATAATGTGCAGGCCAGCAACATGTGAATTTATTAGACTATTTAAAGAGAAGGATTGGGGTGTCATGGTGGATTAAAAGCAAAAGATCACACAAACTTGCTCTGCCTGCAGACTCCGCTTTAAGAGCATCAGAAATGCAACATTAATATCAATAAAGTCGATGTTTAAACATGTTGAAATGCAAAAAGGTTCTCACTTTACTATTGTCTGCATTATACCTCTGATTGGTTTAGGCAGCAAAATTCAAGAAAAATTTGCAAAGCAGCATGTATATGAATCCTTATAACAAAATCTTATGATTCTGAATAAAACAGATATCCCATGCATTACGTCTGGAACATAAAATCAATGTAAAGTTTTCTTCAGTTGGCTATAATGTTTGCAGCTCTAATGATTGGTTGAAACCTTTTACCAAAAAGAAAATACCCCTTAAAATGGGTATGGATACATTTATTTTTGAAAACACTGTTTTCTCTGAAAATATGGTTAGAAACTTTTCAAACATACTGAGCTATTCATCTGCTTAACATAGGATGTAACTTTTAATATCAGGTCCGCTTAAATATACAGGTTTTGCCATACACTATTATAAGTTTGTATTTTTTTCTGTGTGGGAGGGGGTAAAAAAAATAAGAGACAACTCAGTAAGAAGCTATAAACAGCTTGAACTTATTGCCGTAGTTTTTATTCTTAATACTTTTGAGTGCTTTCTATAGCGAATAAAAGAAAAGACTACATTCAGCAGCTGACACCTAAAAACATGAGTGCTTACTAAAATAGAGAAAACTTGCTAGATCAATAAGTGGCAAACACAACATCAAAAGGTCCTGTGCATCCACGAATGCCTGTGGTACGATTTGCATTCAAACCCCTACATTTATTATACATACAGCAAGTTTACATTATTTAACACGCATAATGAATGCTTGGGGTTGTATGGACTGATCTATACCTACACATTGTGGTGCAGGATCTGTAAAAGTTAATTATTACAGGTGTATGAGGAAAATATTAGGCTAGGTAAAACCACATAAAGTAAATAAACGCCACATGAGATTATCATACTGTCGTATTTATTTCAACATGAAAAAACACAAATAACCTTACACAGAAGCATTACGACAGAGTTATACGCTTCGGGGTTATATGCTTCTGCCTTACACAAATAAAGCTTTTACAAGCAAAAATCGTTTTCAGAATTCAGTGATCTTTGTGGTGTTTTAGCCTCTCGAGTAAAAAATGAGATAGCTCGGTGTTTTGCCAATCTTTTTTAGAGTAAGAACCTTTCAGAATTCGGCAAAATCCTAGGGTCCATTTTTTTGAAGGTAAGGAAGACTTCAAAGTATTCAAGAACGTTGTCCGATGAACTTTACTGAGCAGTATTTTTCGCTCGATGGAATGTTGACAATTACAAATTGAATAGAAGAGGTGGCTTCTGTGTAAACTCAACATTTCCTTCAAAGGCGAATTTTCCCCAGAAATCAAATTCAACTTGTGACAAAAAAAAATTAAAAGCAAATCTTTACGAAATTTCGAGATTTCAATGTCAAGAAAACTACAGAGAAACGGCGCCTTACCTCGAGCAACCAGGACACCATTGTCTACACTTATTAAAAAACAACACAAATTTGCTGCACAAGAACCCTTTTTTCCTAACTTGGCGAGTCGACAGATGAAAACAAAGCTCTTCTTTTCTTTACAGGCTGGGAGGCAGAATTTAAAGTTCTGGCTATTCCATATAACCCATTATTAGGCCACTGTTTGCGAAAGGATTTTTAACTCAGCGATTTGATTTGCAATGTTTGAAAATTCTGTAAAGATCAAACTTTTGCACATACCGATTTTCACAGATGAATTGATCCGTCAAAACCGTCAATCACATTGAACTTAAATGGTCTCCTTACAGATTTTTAATCTTGCTGAATAGTGGCTTTAGGAATATTAACCTCGCCGCGAATATTCCGCTTCTATTCACCTAGTGTTCAAGAATAATTGTTAATTGTCCAGTGTAAAGTACGGTACAAAATATCAGTCAAAGCAGGAAAAGGTGTTTTCCACATGATTCCTGGTCATGTCCTTGAGAAAAATACTGGAAACCTTTATACGTTTTATTCCTTCCTCTTTCAACAGAAAGTACGTCCACATGGTCGCTTGTACGGTCGTCTTTGTAGGACCCGCGCATTTTGTGTAAAACGCAATGCTACTTGTCCTCTTTCCAGCTGTTCCAACAAAAACGATGGTCCACGCGGTCGCTTTAACTATATTTCTACCGTTTCTTGTAAAGGATCCGTTTGTGTAGAAGTTTTAACTATTTTCTATGGTAGGTTCTTCGTTGAAGAAGGACAATTTATCAAGTACACACCCTCCACTTTAGCAGCCATTTTTTTCATTTATTGACCTCGCCTCGCTTTGGCGCGCTGAATCTTCCGGAAGTCAACCAGTTTACCGGAAACTGTTTCCGCATGGTCCGCATAGTTCTAAAAATAACTTTTTTGGGATTAAGATATCCCAAAGGCGTGACTGGGAGTGTCCCTCTCTGTCCTATTATGGCTCTTGGTCATAGCTATTCATTGATGACATGTTGACAACCTTAAAAATGGCGGGAAAAGACAAGAGTATCGCTGGCGCCATTGAAGCAGGCGTACGTGGTACGGAACGAAAACCTCAGTATCGTCGGATATACGTTTTGGAGGGCCTAGCGTGGACTGTAGAAAACGATGCGAAAACGCAAGAATGAAAAACGCAGTTATCAATATGTTCTTGCTAACTCGAAAACAACGCGTTATCGCATGTGGCCTGAAAAACAGCTAGTGTATTAGCCACTTTGAGGTTGCGCGGGAGACCACTAACCTTGTTTATAGATATCCACAATATGAGTCGCCGAGCCGAGAGAGTTTGAAGCATGACAAGTGTACGCTCCAAAGTCTTCATCACTATCAGTAATTACAGTAGCTGTTAGATAACTAAGTAAGTCTTCTTTTGTCCATTCCTTAACCTCAACATCCCCACTTGGCAGATCTATGTCATTCTTGCGTATGCTGAGTGTCGGGTTCGGATAACCCCACCACACGCATTTGATGGTGACTGCAGTCGGGTTGCCCACATACGAGTACAGTTCTGTTTGGTTGGTAGATTTCTCCGTGTTTATCCTTGGAGGAGCTATAACAGGGAAATAATTCTCTTACATTTAGTTCTTTCGTCAACAGTAATAGCGGAGCTCTCGCGCGCGAAGTGCGCGCAGCGGAGCACCATGGGTAAAAAAATGTGGTAATCTACCCATCCAAGAAAATTTGGTAATCACGTGACCGTACGCCCGACCGTCCGTCCGCACCACAGGCATACAAAATGAGAAATGCTAGCGGCCACCAATGCAAGGAGAAAATGAGCGGCAGTAAAAAAAAAAAAAGTGAACGAGAACACGTACGACATTTCCTCCATAAAAAAGTTTCCGGAAGTTTCACGTTGCAGTCGTGCAAAACAACGGCAAAGAAATGTACAAAAAAGTGTGCTGCAAGTGCAAAGATGCTTTTTTGCTAATTAGACCTATTGTTGCTTTTTCACCGTTCTCCGGCGTTGCCTTCGCTGCTTTTATATTTTGTTTGAACAAACTATAAATAATATCGAGAGCCTCGCTTTTAGCCCTGGCTAAATCTATATATTAGGTTTTTTTGTTTAAACAAGCATTCATTTTTATGCGTTTCGTTCGTGTCTTCTGCCCATGCAAGAAAACTGAAAATACAAATTTTTGGAAACAAGAGTTTTAAGAAAACGAACGTTTTCGACGACGCTCTCAAAATGGAGATGCATCAATATCATGATGGACAAACGACAAACGAAGGTTAAAGTGCTGATATCGTAGCCATTCATTGATGACATGTTGACAACCTTAAAAATGGCGGGAAAAGACAAAAGTATCACTGGCGCCATTGAAGCAGGCGTACTGAGCACGAAACAACAACCTCAGTATCGTCGGATATGCGTTTTCGTGGGGCTAGCGTGGACGGTACCTTTTCAGAAATCTTTCGTTTCAGACTTACGAAGTCATCAAAATGTTTTTGTTAACTCGAAAACAACGCGTTATTGTGGCCTGATTTCCTGTCTCTTTTGTCTTCTGTCATCTCCTTACTTTGCCTCTACTACTGAGTTTCGCCAATACAATTCCCTCTCTATTTGAAGGGCTAGATCACTTGGCCTCACTATTTTATGAATTGTCCACAACCAACGAAAAGGAACTACTGTAAAATTCCGAAAATAAGCCCAGGGGCTTGTATTTTTCAAAGGCCCTTTTTGAGGGGCTTATTTTTGGAGGGGCTTCCGCTTATATTCGGAGGGGCTTAACTATGGAGGGAAATTTGCGTTTCAAAATCGATAGGGTTAGCCTTATAGGTGGAAGTAAAATTACCGTTTTTTGTTTTGCTTTACTTTGTATTTGAGGACAATTTTCCAAGTACAAGCCCTCGGGGGGCTTACTGATTTGGAGGGGCGATTTAACGGAGGGTTTTTTGCGTTACCGGTTTGGGGGGCTTATATTTGGAGGGGCTTATACATGGAGGGGCTTATACATGGAGGGGCTTATTTTCGGAATTTTACGGTAACAGTACAAACTTACCATACACCATGACTGTTATATCTTTCCTTTGCTCGCGCAGGCTGGTACCAACTTTGTCTCCCAGCTGCGTGATGCGGCAAATATAGTCACCGGTATCGCTTTCATGAACAGGATCGATTACCAATGAGCCGTTGGGTAAAAGTGTAAAGCGAGGATCCACTTCCGTTTTGACACGTTTGAAGTTCTTGTACCACACAAATGTGGGTTTTGGGTACCCTTCTGCCGAGCACAAGACAGTCTCTGTTTTCCCTACTCGTAGATTTTGATCATCGGGGAACTGTGTGACGAAGACTTGACAAATGGAAGTGAAAAAAAAGGTTACATTAAATTACTAATAAATTATGATGAAGTTCTGATATAACGCGCACTCTCGCACTCTGATTGGCTGAGAGGGGTTTGGTCCACAATCAGGTATCATTTACGCCATACAAGAGAGAATGATCTATTGCGCCATATTGATACAAGTAGTGCCTCATTTTCCTCGGGACGGAAGGGTGAGCAAAATCCGCAAGCCGCGAGGGAGGTAACACGCGGAGAGAAAAGTCAGTGAAAAACGCGCGCTCAATTATCCCCGAGGAAAATGAAGAACTATTTGTGGTCTATCAGTGGTACGGAGAATTGTAGCTTCTTGTTTAAGTTAGTTTGAGTGGGAGAGTAGGGATTTCTTAAAACCTAATCTAAATTAGGACAGCAAAATTGCATTTATACAAGAACTGGCATAAACGAAGCGGTTCCAAGGTCACAGTAGGGCACCTCCACCCAAAAACTCCTAGAGAATCCCCGGGGAAGTAAAGTTTCCCCTACCATGGCATCTGGACAAAGCTTTTGACATCTTCTTGAAGTGTTTGTGAAATTTGATAGGATTCATATAAAACAGCTTTAAGAGAAACTCGTCCCGAGAGCTTTTCTCTTAGAAAATGGCGGAAGGAAGGAAAAAGACCTGGGAACAAGGTTGGTGGTCGAGTCGTGCTATTAGCTATTTGCACATCTCCCATAATGCACTTTGTTTGCCCACCAAAATTTAGCATAACCTTTGTTTTCCATTTCTCCTGAGCATTACATAGCGTACTTGCGACTACGGCGATAAGTCTCGATAATCCTATTTGTTTTTCCCACAAAATTTTGCATAAGTTTTGTTTCAATTTCTCAAAAAAGATCATTAGTTCCAAGAGGGATTGAAATCAATATTTGTGCAAAATTTTGTGGAAAAAACAAATTGCATTATCGGCAGCATAAAAGTCGCAAATTGGTAGTACATTGAAAGATACTTACACTCAATAAAGAGAGTGAATTTACTTTCGGACCTGTCCCCTTTACAGGTATAATTTCCACCATCGGCGACAGCAACGTTTTGGATCACAAGCGTGTACGCATTCCCACTTTCCTCTACATAGTTACCCGGTATAAGTTCGTCTGGTATGGGACGAGCTGTGACCTCATTTCCATTCACATCAAACCAACCAACAAAGCTCTCACCATCTTTCATAGTACAAACTACCCTAAAAGTTTTACCGACGGTGGTGATTCCATTGACCAACAAATCGATTGTAGCATCTGATGGGAAAAAAGATAGGTTTTCCCAAGTTATTCATTTCTTTCATTCATTTTTTTCATTTCTTTTAAAGCAGATAACTTACGGAAATAGTAATTCCCCATGCAAAGTGCTCTTCGCGGGTTTTCCTCGTTTTCCAGGTGGTAACCGCTCAAGTGACTCATCAAAAAACACTGAGGCCTCAAAATGACGTATGAATTCGACTGCGAATTTGTTCGAGTATTTCCCCGACTGAGGACTACACTCAGGTTTAGAAAGAGAAAGAAACATTCGTTGTGGCTTGTTTACGTCCTCCAAAAAACGTGAAATTAGGCTTTTTCACGTCGCAGTCGTGCAGCGACGGCAAAGACATGTACCAAAAAGTGTCACGCACTTGCAAAGTTATTGTTTTGCTCTATAAACCTACTACCTGTCTCGTGACGTTCTCGTTGCCGTCACTAATGTTCCAAATTCCTAAAGCTCCCTGTTGTCACTATTGGCACAATAAAATCAGTGTAACCCCTTAATAAAGCTGAGGTAAACATGGGTTTCCAGAGTTCATTAAGGAGATGTCTTACCGCATTTCCTGTATCAAGGTTGAAAACTGAACGTAAACAAGCGAAGACGAATTTTTCTTCCCTTTTTAAACTTGAGGGCAGTCCCCAATCGGGGAAATACTCGAACACCTCCGCAGTCAAGAAGATTGGACAGAAAAATGCTTTAATTCGGCTTGTCCTGTTTAAGTTTCAGGACAGCTGCGAACATGACAAATGCGGATAAACCAGACAGAAGTGAACGCACGAAGAGTGGGAAACATACTCGTAATGCAATGTAAGCAAATTTAGACATCTTGAACAAACGGCAAGCGCCGAGAGCTTCTCTTCAACGTGGACTATGCGTAATTTTTAGAATGTGGATGAAATGCAGTACTTTCACAAGGCACTATCTACTTGGCTTGTAGTTTTAAATTTTAGCCTAACGGGTTTTCAGGGGCACCCAACGACTGTTTTCTGTGAAATATCTCTTGGGAGAAGCAAATATTGTCGAAAATTGTCTATTGAGGACGGCTAAAAAATTCTCGATGACCGTTCAACTCGGGTTCAAGTTCGAAGCTTTCTTATGAACTGCTTAAGATTTTCTGAAGTTTAATGGTCAGTTTTCACTTCTCAAGTTTGGCTTTTTTTCGAAGAGAAAAGGAAACCCAAAATTTTCGGACTCTGAACGCAATGGAGAGAGAAATAAAAAAATGTCACACTCGCGTAGTACTTCAAATTGCATTTAAAATTTTCGCGAAAATAATACTGAAGCCCTTGTAATTTCAAAAGACTCAAGTTCCCTAGGATGAACGAACAGATACAAATTTTACAGCACCACTTAGAATGCATTTCTAGACATCTAAAAAACTCTGGATAGCCTAAAACGTGTTATCAATGTATTTACGAGGTGCCCCTGGGTTCTCTAAAAAACCGGGTTTTTACTCGCGTGTTTTTTATTGTCTCCCTACTGCAAAAAAGTAGCCTTTGACTGTTCCCAGGTGGTGGAAAGTTCGACAAATTACTATGGTAAAAAAAAATTGGCATTCTATTGAAGAATGTTTATATAAACTTAGGAAGACATGCTTCCGGCCTGAAGTTAACTCAAACTGAATTTCTATAATACAATTACAAAACACCGTCTATAGACATACCACGTTTTTGTTTATTTAGGTCGAATAGTAGATTTGTCTTACATGTAAGAAGCGTCGAAAGAAGGAATTTATGATTAAAAAGATTAGAATTGAAGAGAAAGCAAGACGGTCTGTCTTTTTAATGGGCCATCACTTGCAAGCCGCTTGTGTTAGTCGGGCTTTCCTGTAGCACTTCAGGCGCTTATTATGACCTCAAATCCATTGATGCACCATAAACTTTTTAATAGTTCGTATCTGTGATGAAAGTTATATCACGTCACATGCTACATAAATCTGATTAGTTGTTTAATTTAATGTCTGATGATCAATTTTCAGTAATATGGTAAAATAACAGCTTGCCATCAAAACGAAAACGCGCTCTGTAGTTTATAAAAATAATATGGTTTGTTTATAAAGATCCAACCGTCTACAACATGAACGGTTTGATTTGAACAGACCACTTATATGACACTCAATATGTGTAGTTAAACTCATTAGGATGCATTTCCATGCTTCGCAATTCGATGTCTGAACCTTGAGGCATATCATAAAGGTTGAAGCGTAAAACAATGAGCAGTCAATAAGCAAAACTTTCGTTTTGCAGTCATAAAGACAGTTCCGAGTTGAAATGTCTAGCTGAGTTCTTAGGGTTTAGAAATTGTTTTGTTTTACACCAAACTGTGCGGAAGTATCAAGGCCACTGAGCACATGTGCCACATGGAGTCGGATTTGTTGACTAATACTTGTTTTGGCACAGATAAATTCCGGCAGTCGGAAAAGATGGGAAACCAGACTTCCTTTCAACATTCAGATCAGCCAAACACGCGAGCAACTCATTATATAATCGTTAGTTTATTTGAAGCCATTTTTTGTCGAGTTATTGTAAAGCTAGCGTCGAATTCAAATAAAAAAAACTAGGTCAGTAGTAGCCAGATTTCACGATTTCTCGGTCACGAAGTTGCGTGTTCTAGAATTGGTTTGTACATCTTCAAACAGGCTTACAATGTAACTGTAAAATGCGCTAGAGTTGCTTTCAATGCTCTGAACATCTTAGCGTGACCTAGCTCAACACCAGTGTTTTGCAATCGACTCACCTGAAGGACAAATCTGCCAGAAGGATACAAATCCCAGCATCAAAAGAACTCGAAGAAACATTTCAGCCTGTGGACCTCCCATTCCCCTAAGGCATGAATGATTCAAAGAAGTTGTTTCATCGACGGAAACAGCTGCAGAGCTGGAAAAATCGCTCCGAAGTCGCCTAGAAGGACTCAGTTGATGCCGCCATTGTGATCAAGCCACACAGAATATTCAAATGTGAGCGGCGATAATTGAAGCACTTCTTTGTTGTGGATATGGTTGAATTCCTCAATGCCAAGTTCTTCAATAGGATTAAGGGCGTGGCTCTGAATAGTATTAATGATCCACTTGACAAGAACTAGCAAAGACCCCACAAAGAATCAGAAACTCAGGCTATAACGAGAAAAGATGAAACAACTTCTTCATTTTTACTTTCAGTTCCGTCAAAGAATGACTTGAAAAAACAAACCGAGAAGCCATCTGGACAATATATATAATTGATTTATTTTTAGTCATTTGAGGTCGTATTATGATCATATGCTTTCAAAATTGTCTTTGTCAAAATATCAAATGATATAAAATTTCAGCACCACTAATTTACATATGATTAGATGAAAGAAGAAAAAAGGAAGATCTATCATAAGGCAAAAACTTCGAAACACAATCCGATTTTCAAACTATTAAATCTTAAATGAATGCTTCTCAGAAGTGCTTTTCTTGTGGTAATGTTTAATGTGTTGAACAAGGTGATTATTACTATGCCGAATCGGAAGATGAAACCATTGAAATGAAAGCTACGGAACAGTACTTCCTGTGGTGCTGTTTATTATGCTGTACAAAGTGGTTCTAACTTTTGAATCGGAAGATGAAATCCTGAAGTGTGACCATTCAAATGAAAGCTGCTGAGCAGTACTTTCCTGTGGTTCTGCTTATTATTATATGCTGAACAAGGCAATTCTAACTTTTGAATCGATCAAGCGATGTACCTTCAGGCGTGACCATTCAAATGAAAGCTGTTAAGCAGTGCTTTCCTGTAGGGGTAACCTAAATCATGGAACGGTGGAATGCCGGAATAGTGAAATGGCGAGATTAAAGAAATAATCTTCAGAGTGCGAGCCAGATTCACAGCAAAACCTCTAGAGGATTCTTTTTGCGCGGTGCTTCTTAAGTTTAATTGCGTATTTACAAAGGATGTCTAAGTGGTATAATTAAAATGCCAAAGTGAATGTCAGAAAAAACAAGTCTGGTGGCTGTAGAGATTGAATCTGAGCCAACTTTGTTCCCACAGTTCTCGCCTACTCGTTTCGTAGGGAAAAAAGGAGTGGACTCTGGAAACGAGTTTGATTTGAACCAGGGAGGGGGGGGGGGAACTCCCCCTATGAAACAGAAAACAAAAGAAGACGACGATTTTACCGGTCCATAGACTGCAAACAGTCCGTATTTTTGTGTATTCCAGGATGCACGAACAGTAAAACAAAAGGTCTGGAGCGAGGCGGAAAACGGAGAGCGAGACTGGGGAGAGACGCTTACATTAAGGAGTAGTTTCTTTTCTCTCGCCTCACGCGCCGTTAGCGCGCGTGAGACTCTTAGGCCACGCTAAACCAATTTAAAAAAAGAAGAAGGAAAAAAACGACTGTTTTGCAGTCTAAACGGTCCAGCATCGGACATGACTGGTGACAAAGGATTGGACCTGCAAGAAAATGATATTCTGATCAGACGATTGGCTACTTTACAGTTGTGTGTGGGACTTAGGTCAGAGTTGCGTCGAACTGCACTTCGGGACCGTTTTGAAGGCGCTGTCACAGTGATACGGGCATCTCCACTTCCAAATCCCTCCCCTGTAACCCTACCCCTAACCCAAATCGCTAAGGGAACATAAGAAGGGGATGCCAGTCAGGATCACTCGGGCTTTGGAAATGGAAATGCCCAAAACGCGGGATGCCCATATCACTGTAACAGCGCATTTTTCGCATCAGATTTCTCATGGATTTCTAAACATTATGGAGCCTGGAACAGGCTGTGGGGGGAAAGGCAGGTGTCGCTATGGTTCGAAAGAACAATAGACTGAACGACGGGAACAATGTAGCAAAACTCTTTTGCCCCCCCCCCGCCCCCTCCCCCCTCCCAAAAAAAATGGATAGCCATTGTCTTCGATTTCTCTTAAGACGACTTCATACACACGGGAAATTGGAAACAATGGTTATCCAAAATTTTGGGGGGTAAATAAGTGCCTTGTGGTCTTGGAGAGGCGAATTCCTGAAATCCACCCTCACTTTTAAAACGAGGCTCGTGCAAGAACTACGCTCTGTTCGCAAAAGAGAGGTGTCTGCATTATAAGCGCAATGAAAAATTAGACTATACTCATATCAGAAAAGGGACTGGGCAGTGGCACTGTTAATTACGCTGTACAAGGCCATTCTAACTCACGTTTGTGTCTTTAGATGAAACCTGACCATGCGACCATTAAAATGAATGCTACTGCGAAACTGTTTATTTTGCGGTTCAAGGTGTTACTAACTTTCAAAAAGTTTCGAGGCAGTGCCAAAACCCTTAAGTATGACTTTCAAATAAAATCTACTTAGCAGTCCTTTTCTTAAGTGGTCTTTCTCGATTATACTGTATAAAATGGTTCTATTCTTTTATTCGGTGCTGGAAACTCATGTTAAAAACAACGATTTCGTGCGGCTAATATTATTCAATATTTTCAGGAAAAGGAAATGCCCCCCTTTTAACTGATAACAGGAACCGAGGAAATCCGGGACAGGTGTGCAAAGCGTTAAATTGCAAGTGTGGCTTGTAAAAGACATGTCTGTGACATCATGTCTCCCTCTAAAATTGTAATATTAAGTCATATGGAAGACGTTAATAATGCAATTCACAAAGAATGATCCTCTTCTAAATACAAAAGAACGTTTTAGCGATCAATTGAGCAGTCGGGGAACCTCAGGAAAAGGAAATGCAACCCTTTTAACTGATAACAGGAACCGAGGAAATCCGGGACAGATGTGCAAAGCATTAAATTGCAAGTGTGGCTTGTAAAGACCATGTCTGTTGCATCATGTCCTCCACTAAAAATTGAAATAGTAAATCATATTGAAGAAGTTAGTAATGCGCTTCACAAAGGATGATCCTGTTCTAAATACAATATGGGAGGCTCCGCCCAGAAGTCCAGCCCCTTACCTTTTTATATGCCATTTTTGGCAGAAAAGGTGCCCCTTTTACAAGCCTTCTATTGACAAATGGTGCCCCTATCAAAAACTTAGTTGTTTTATGCATCCCTTAAATCACAACTGACTAGAACGTTTTCTTGACTTTTACACAGCCATAAAACGCGTCTGTCGGCCTTTTTTGGGACTTTTTACATACACCCGAAGTGACAGATTTCTCTACCCTTTCATATACCTCTATTAGTGAAATCTTTATCCTTTGATATGCCCGAGGCCTGAAAAAGGTACCCCTTTTGGGCGGAACCTCCCTGTCTAAACCAGTATACTGGGGATGTCCCCCGGGGTCGACAGCCAGTTATTATCATGAGAAGAGTATTTTTTGTTGTCTGTTACCCCCTGTTGCATGTTTTATAGTAGGCGGTTGGGGGGGAGGGGGGGATAAATAATTCCTTGATGTTCGCCAAACAAAGAAAACAAAGTCACGCGAAATGCTGCGCGGACACCATTTGATTCTCTTCCCAGTCTCGCTCTCCGTTTTCAGCCTCGTTCAAGACGTTTTGTTTGACCGTTCGCGTGTACTTGAATACGCAAAAATACGAAAATCCTTGAATAACAATGACCGAGACCAGGTTTCATGAGCCCACGAGACTAAGCACCCAACCCAAACCCTTGTTTTCACTAAAACCGCTGTACGCCAACCTGGTTGAGGTCATTGTTACCTAAGGTCTTCCCTAAAATACGGACTGTTTTGCAGTCTGCCGACTTTCACAGTCAGGGACAGAACGCACCAATTTTCATCACGGCCAGGTTTTTGTGTTTGTGAGGTTGACCGCGATCAGAAACGACAGAAATACAGTAGACTCCCGATAACTCGAAGGGAGATCGCATCGAAGTAAATGACTAGAAATAAGGAAAAGGGATGGGGAGGAATGGACGTATCATGCGCACTTGACTTCAAGGGCAGCAAGATATATATTTGTCTTCATAGCCAATAACATCAAGGCTTATCTGACAGACGACCAATCAGACCAATAACCAGAGTATAATACCATCAACTGACGTAATACAACTCACTTTGACTCTGAAGATGACTACCGCACAGGTTGTCGAAACGTCAGTCACTGTCAACAACAACAGTCCTAATTCAGGACTACGTTCACCCGGACGATCAAACTCAAGCTATTTTTGAAATGACTCCTGGGTTCACACCTTTCACAAGATATATAATGCTGTTTCAGTGAAAAACTGAATTGAAAGGAATTGATTAATCAGTACATGGCTAAACATTGTATTTAATTGGACTGACAAAAAACTAAGGACAAAGAATACATAGTTGTTTTGAAACAAATTCAACTGCAGCTCACTACGTTTTTTCGACTTATCACGTGCTTAACACATGGTTCAAGTTATAGAGTTTAAAATTATATAGAAGTGATCTGAAGGGGAACAAAAATTACTTCGAGTTAGAAGGAGGTTCGAGTTACCGAGGGTAAAATTACAGTGAATGTATGACGGAAATCCAGGGGAAATCGACTTTGGTTCGAGTTAGCGAGGGTTTGAGTTAACGGGAGTTGACTGTAGGCAAAAGCTAAGCAAATAACTTCACAGCTGAAAATGGCAATGCCATTAGCTTAAACTGTTGCTCATAAGCGCCCCCCAGTTATAGGCCAAACTACTTGTAAATATTCATTGGCATCGGGACACTAGAACTAATTCACGTGAAAGTCATTTTGTATTCTTGGAGCACAAACAAATTTCATCTAGCAAATCAAATTTCGTAGTACCCCGTTTACAATTAGGCCAGACTCACACGAAATTATATACCCTGTTTATAATTTGATACCCTGTTTAGGACAGAGAGGTTAAAAAAACCACACCCTGACCAGGGAAACATACTCGTTTAGGCCATAGACGGGAGTAGAGTCCCCAGGTGGAACATCAAGTGTGGGATCGCCGTGTGATAAATCTGTTATTATATGGCTACAAAAGTACGCGCGTTCTGATTGGCTGCTAAGCGGGCATTATGTTCTTGCAATGACAGGGCATTACTAGCTATTGTAGGTGTCCAAGGTATATAGAATCTATATTTAAACTTGATAGTGGACATCCTTATGGACATCCATGTTATGGTCAATTGACAGCTGTCAAAAGGGTATCCGCTGAACAGTGTCACATGACTGTATCGCGGGCTCAAGAGTACAACTCGTTGAGGTGACATGCTTTTTAAAAAAATTCGCTGACCAGTTGTTGATTTTAATTGAACTTAGACTCAGGTCCATAATGAAAAGGCCACATAATAAATAACTTATTAACTTCTTCCGTTCGGTCATT